TCTTCTTTTAAAACTCTCTTCATTTGGCATACAGAATCCCCTTTTATCTTGGCTCAAATCTTTTTTAGAAGAACGTAGCCAAATCGTTCGCTTTGGATCTTGCTACTCTAAACCTGTGAATGTAACCAGTGGGGTTATACAAGGAAGTGTGGTTGGTCCACTATTCTTTCTTCTTTTCCTCAATGACGTGTGTCCCCTCCTTCAATACGATGAACCTTTCCTTTTTGTTGATGACCTAGAAGTGGTTTATTCATTCTCTTCTCCCACGAAAGAAAGCTATATTTCAGCGGTAATCCAAGAGGAAATAAACAAGTTGTACGAATGGACTATTTCGTGGAATATGCCACTTAATGTTGACAAAAGTGGATTTATTCACATTGGTCGCTGTCTTAACTTAAATCTGACTGTACACACACATACACTCAAACCTCTTAACACTGTTCGTGACCTGGGTTTAAGATATAGCAACAGTCTGAACTTTTCTGAACACATTATATCTCAAGTATCCAAAGCTAGAAAGCTCATCGGATTGATAATGATAAACTTCAATAATATCGAATCGAGATTGTTACTATACAGAAAATGTATCTTACCCATTCTTGAATATGGTATTTTAGTTTACAGTAATTGTAGACATAATGACCTGATTAGAATTGAAGGTGTTCAAAGAAAGTTCACCAAAGCTGTTCTGGGGTATTCCGATAACAAAGACTATTACCAAAGATGTCAACAACTCAACTTAGAACCTCTTTGGATCAGACGTATCAAATTAAATCTTGTCTTTATCTACCGGCTTATTAACGGTATTTCCTACTCTTCGGTATCCACCCCTTCATACCTTATGATATCATCCCACAATCTACGCAATAAGGAGAATATTCTAGCGATTCCAAGAGCCCACACAAACTTACGTCAGAATTTTTTCCTTATTCGCTACTCAACCATGTGGAACAGACTGCCAGTGAACCTCCGTTGCAGTGAAACTACAACCCAGTTCAAAAGTCTCCTTGATGATTTTCTTTCCGAAAGTGGATTATGTCACCTATTGAATATCAATGTATTCAACAATGATTTATACAAACAAGGTCCGTCATCCATTTAATTGCTTGAAAAGCAAAATAAAAACCTTTAAATCTTTTCACGTCTATTTTATTTTATTTTTATTTATCTTGATATATGAAGTCTGCTTATGTTCGTATCTATAATTATTACTGTTATTAATTTCATTATTGTTACCCCGACACATTAGATATTCCTTTTATATCTTCTTATCCTTCTTAACATATTTAATTCCTGACTGTCCTTTGAAATTAATTGTGACTTTCATAGCATCATTCTTAATTATTATTGCACAAATATTTATACTAATATCCGGTTTCACTCTGTATACTATTACATAAATCTAAATGGTATTCATCCGAGTGCAATAAAGGACTTTTTTATTTTTCTAAATTGTTGGTTTCCTTCTGAGGTTGATATTCATTACGCAATTATTATTCTTATCATGGATGAAACTTTTCACTAGGTGTTCACTTCTTTTCTCTCCTCTTTCCCTCTAAATAAATATTATTCTTAAGATTACGAAGTTTGTAATTAAAACAATAACTTGTGTTACACTTAAATTAAATTATCTTCACTATGCATATATGACTCATACATATTGATATTTTATTATCCTTTTCATTTAATTGTAACTTTCATAGCATCACTCTAAACTATAACTGCACAAACATTTATTCTAGCGTCATATCTTACTGCAATTATAAGTTATTTTTTCTTAATTATTTTTTGTTACTAATTTAACGATACACACATAGTCGTTTATTCTTATTCTGTGTTCGTAAACACGCCTATTAGACTGTTTGCGTATTTCACGTCTCCTTTGTTTCTATTCCCTTATTTTCTCCATTTCCTTCTTTAAACTCAATTCAATATTCTTCTCAATTGCACAGACCCGATTTATTATTATTAATATTCTACTATTTTTAAGGGCAAGTATAATGCTGACGTTATTGAAAATTGTGTATTATTGCATTTTTTTGAAGAAACCCGAAATGGTTTCTTCACAACACTCATGTACCCATAAGATGTTTGTGAATAATAATAGTAATACATTATGGTGTAATAACACAACAGACTAAAGTGGGTGTTTTGCGTCTGAGTATTACTGGCTTAACAATCGGATAAGTATGATGACTATGATGGAATTACAGAAGCCATTGAATGGTTTGGCAACCCGTACTGAATACAAGTGAAATGAGAATGAAACTAACAACATACATGTACAGTTAAGAAGTTAAGTTATGGGCAATCCTCCAAGATAACAGTAAATGCACGACTTAACACAAGTGTAATTTATTGCCAGTGAACACAAGCTACATCAGACATACCACTTTACAGACAAGACCATGTATATGTATATACATGACCACTCTATTTAAAATGAACTAAGGAATGTTATTCAGCATCATAAACGTAGTATGAAATCATCTGATGCAATTGTGAAGCTCGCATGGCTTAATTTCGCAGTTGCGCAATGAAAATTTGGATCACTCAGTTATGTTATTGATAGGGCTTCTAATTGAAGGCCCGAATTGGCTTCCTAGACGCCTCTAATAGCTTCAACCTAAAGACAAGAGATCATTGTACTTCGAATGGCCTTGGGCTTCCAGAAGTCTCGAAGGCCATATTGAATGTGCCAGCACGGTCAGAAACGTTACTCTTGACTCCTCACTTTCTACACGTTTCTGGGGAGCTTCTTTTCGTCGCTGATTAGTCAAAATATTTCCGAACGATTTAGGACCTGTCTGAACTTTTGCGAGGAATACTTTGAATCTCCCCAACACTAATACGAGATAAATCTTAGAGAATTTGAACGAGACATCATGTATCAATTGTTTCTTGGGTCTGTGTAGCATTGTAAATTGATTCAATATGGGTTGAAAAAGTAACTGAAATGTAATACGTAGCACTTGCTAAGCGAAAACTTTAGACGAAATCTAAGCTTTCAGGAAATTTAATATCCAAAAACAGCATAAATTTTCAGTATTCTGTTTGATCATGGGACTCGGAAACGGGAAATAAGTCTGTCATTAGAGAAGTAAAAAATGTTGTAAGGGAGAGTTTCTGGCAGAAAATAGCATATAAAATGAAAAGTAGTAGGATGAATTTATAATCGATGGCTGATTTGGTACTACTCATATGAAGTTAATAATTTGCAGGCCGCTATAATTTCGCGTTGCTCTGTGGCCATACGTATGCATGGTTGATATTTTAACAGACGTAGTGCGCAAGAGCACTTAAATGGTGTCAATGCTTGTTAAATAACCATGAGAGCCAATTACAATCGTAGTTTATTGACTATTTGTTGTTCAACACAGATCTAACTCAGCCACTAGTCACACAAACTTCATTCAATAACTTTTATAGTATCTATTGTGGTTGTGTCGAATCTACTGTTGAAAACTGCAAAAGCTGGATATTCTAGATATGTATTCATATCTACTTAGTTTTCTGCAACACTTATGTACCGATATGGTAATTGTGGGTAATAATAAATGTACTGCTGCTCTCCATCAGAGTTTGGTTTTCGAGAGTAGGCTACCATTTGACCTGCATTAGTGTGCGGTTGCATTGCTATTGTTATATTTTTCTCTTATTACAACCCAGCTATTCTTACTGTTTATTATTCTTAGACTACAATTTACTCGACAAGTCTCTAATTCAGAACACGATTGAATAGGAAAGAAATTATATTCCAAATAACAAGGATGGAAATAGAAAGCATAATAAAAAGCCATAGCACAATTACAGTTTTTATATGAGGAGGTTCTAGAGTCTTCTTTTCCTCTTTTATTGTTAACATACCTAGGTTCCTGCCTGGAGGATTTGATGATCCCCCGCTACTAGACACGGAAGCCTGTTAAGCGAAAGCTTCTTCTATTCCGTCCACAACCATCTGAACCATTTGAAGTATCGACTAGCGCTGATTGGTTACGAATTAGCCAGTCAGCGTGCACCAACGCAACCGTGCATGCGGCATGCTTTAATCGAATTTAAATCCCGCTAACACTTACCTTTAAGAGTTTAAAAGGGCTCAGGCTTCCGATGACAGACTGATCTTCCTGCTCTCTAGACCCGCAGAAGTGCAGAAGAAAAATATATTTTAGTGTAGGAGACGGAATATGCTCACTGAGACACAAAATAAGAAAGATTGGTTTAACGACTAGTTCTTTTTTCGGTTAAGTAATTCTCAAAACTGCACATTCACAAGCACATATTTATTTTTCAGGATGACAATAATTGCAACAATAGTGACATTAAAAATTGGTTAAACATGGTGACAGTGAGGTAGAATAGACGAAGACACACAAACATTATTTTTATTAAGAAGGCTATTAACAATTATGTTGTTTACCACTACTGGTCCAAATAGGCAGCAACCTTGCTGATCATTATTACTTTACCCATAAATTCTCTTCAGATGGTGGTCTAACGGGCCTAAAGCTGATACCAGAGCTTCATTCAAGTCATGAAATGAGTTTTTGCGACATGAATAACTCCTAGGAATTAGTTTTGATCATTCCAGACGGTAGGAAAATCCAAGACTAATAAACTCCAAGAAGATATAAAGCAAACCTGATAAGAAGCCTGCTTTATTGAACTCCTTATTTGTGAATTTTCCTTGTAAGTTTCGCGTTGATACTAACCTTGAGTAATTGGTCTATAGGATATCATAACCCCAAGGAAAACGAAAATAAAAGAATAAATAAATGGGCCATAAGTAGTTCGATTAATTTCTCTAAAAACACGGATATCATGAGAGCGATGGCTTTCACGAAGTTAGCTTGAGATGATTGTGTTTAAATTCTTCAATTTGCATCACAAATCTGTGCGCCTTGAATAAAGAATGGGACTTGGATTTCGTTTTTAATTTGAGAGATTAGTATTGTTTTTATTCAGCCATGAGTGATGAAGAGAATCTACAAAAACTTTTGCTGATGGGGTTTACGGATGAGGACAACATAAGGGCAGTTTTAAAGTCATGTAGTTCAGATGTAAATGAGGCGATATCTGTACTGTCTTCTGAAGGTGTATATACTAGAAATAGTTGCGCTTTTACTCCAGATAAGGTGAGGAGATGCTCAAAATAAGTTTTTTGTTTCCGCACGTCATATTAACATTTAAATCGCTCATGGGTCAATGTTCAAACTAAACTGTTGGCATGTATGTGACTTGGCTAAAGCCCCTCAAACGAAAGAAGCAGCTTATTATAGGTTTTTAATCTAGAAAATATTGGTTATTATGCTTGTGTGGTGTCGTGGTTATTGAGAAACGACATAGGATTACAAGAAACCGACTTTACCTGTCTGAAATGTACCTGGACTGACAATGCATGGAGATTACTTCCATCTTACACTTGTTACCATAGCTTGATATGTTTCTGTAATACGTTTCGGTTTTTACCAGGGTGTGTGTAGTCCTCCCTATTTCCTTGTCACTATATACCAAGGCTTTATCAGGTTCAGTTTTGTGTAGTGAGGACTAATTGTTGATTGTACTTGTAGCTCATTGAGTTACGCCTCATATTCATTTGATACTCGAACGTCTTCAATACAGAAATTAGTGGATTTTGCAGAGTACTACGATATGTAAGTAATTATTACGAAGTGCGGTGTGAGGTACATGCGTTTTCATGACGGGTGTCATATTGCTGGTCTGTAATCTACTTCTAAAATGAGTAGATTTCTATATTGCAATTTGATTTTAAGTTATGTGATAACGTCCATATTCATCACTGTTTGTTCCTATTTTCTCGTTTTTAGAGTATGATACGCAGCAAGGAAACTTTAGAAGATGAATATTCCGGTCAGCAACTGTTTCATTGGATGAAAGCTCAGATCCACTTGATAAACTAGTTTTGGGGCATAACATAAGCATAGGATTTTCTTCTCTTGAGTTCAATAGACTTCAAAGTCGTGTTTTAACAGAACAATGGGATATTCCGTGTCTAAGGTCACAATCTCTTGGTGTTTGCCTTACAGGTGCTATTTATGAGATGAAAGTCAATGGTTTGAAGACATTCGATTTATACCCTGAAGTCCAACGCTTTCTTACTATATGTTTAAAGGAGTGTGTTACTAAGGTAGTTTAATGCATATTGAATTGGTGGTATTTTGTTTACTTTCACTCCAGCAAAAGTTAATTTTACGGTTTCATGATTTTTATTATCCTATTTTTACAGTCGTTTGCCACTCATTGACTGATGTCTCAAACGTATAATTAGATATCATTTTAAGCACTGCGATTTCCATGAAGCAGGCGCCATACATTACAAAGTAAAAGCTATAATTTTAATTGATATACATCATAACATACATTCCGTGTAATATTTTTGTTCATCTCTCAATGATTTTGTCTTACTTGCGTGACTTATCTTCCTTAGAAGTAAAACTGAGATTTCTTTAGGATTCATTTACATAAAAGTCACGTTATTGTATGTGTCTCAGAGCTGATGCATTGATTAATTATTTACGTTTCTTGAATTTTTGTCATAACACACACTTAATATCTGAGTAAAGTGAGAGATTCGAAACAGTAGTTAGTTTACTGGTCACTTATGCATAAACTAATGTACTGTATATCTCTGAAGGTTGTAAATAAGTCAATAAAATTTTCACTTTCCAAGAGTAAATCGCCTTTCAAAATTGAAACATCGCTCTACAAGTGTATTCATTTTCCATAATAATATTATACTAAATCTAAACGTGAGAACAAGGACTCATGAAGATCAATCTGTACCTGAGCATAGATGCATAGACCAAATATTTGCCCTTCATCAGGTTCTTGAACACAGATATACCTCTCAATTTCCATCCATAAGTGTATTTGTCGACCTCATGGCAGCGTTTGTTTCCATAGATCGACAGGTTTTACGTATCTGTCATTGAAAAGCGTACTAATGAAGTGTATTAACCTTGTACAGAATCTCTACTGAATCACTGCTGGTTAAGTTAGGGCTTATGTCAGGGTATTCACTTTCACCATTTTTACTTTGTCATAGATATTCTTTTAGAGATAACGATCTTATCGTCTGACTTTTTAGCAATCGATTTACCAAGAGATTCTTTTGTCGACTTATAATCCCTAAATCAGTCAGTCAGTCAGTAACAAAGTACATCAGTTCGAGTTGCCACACCACATTAGCACAGAGATGCAGTTGTCGATTCAAATCCCGTAGTGGTAGAGGTAGCAAGAGTATAAGCAGTAATCGGGAAGATTAGGGTTTGGAGATGTTATTTAAAGAGTATAATATAGTGAAATAAATTTGAGAGGAGAAAAAAAAGAGACAAGGAGGAATAAGGAGATCAAAATTTGGGAGAACACAAAGAGTGTATGCACCTGCGCCATTGCAAACGATTTTGAGCCATGTCATTCAGGGTCTCTAACCATCGGTTGCTATCATCTCGCGGTCCCCAACCAGGTAGTCTACACCTACCAACATGACTCAGTCCACTTGTCAGTGACTTCATGGACTTGTGCCATGTTTTGGTTGGCCGCCCCTAGCTTTCTTCCAACCTACTCCTATACCACTGAACATAGCACGTCGAGGCAGTCGGTCGTTGGGCATACGTAACACGTGTCCCAGCCATCTCAACTGATGAAGTTTCACTACTTCATCAATTGATTTGCCATCCTTACCTAGTACCCGTTTCCTAACAACTGTTACTTACTCGATGGTCCCATGATATACGAGCAATATTTCGAAGACACCTATGATCAAATACTAGTAACCTACGAATATCCTCTACTCTTACCGGCCATGTTTCACTGCCATAAAGTAGGACGGAACGAACTGCTGCGCAGTAAACCCGTCCTTTGGTTGATAGACGGATATCTCGCCTACGCCATAAATGACGCAAGTTGGCAAAAGCTAGTCGAGCCTTCTGTATCCGTGCTGAGATTTCGTCACACACCAGACCACAAGGGCTGATGAGACTTCCAAGATAAGTGAAGCGGTCGACACACTCAACTACTTCACTCCCTATCATTAGTTCGGGTGTCGATGTAACCCAATCCTGAAGCAACATTTTGCATTTCGAGGGAGAGAATCGCATCCCGAACATGCTTGCATTGTTGCTTAGAGTGGTCAGAAGACTCTGCATTTTGTCAGCGTCTTCACCAAATAAAACTATGTCATCAGCATATTCTAAGTCAACAAGTGAACCTCCCGGTAGAAGTTCAACCCCTGGAAATTTAGATGAGGAGAGTGTTATCTCTAAAAGTACGTCGACGACAAAGTTGAACAAGAATGGGGAGAGTGGACAGCCCTGACGAACACCACTTGAGGTAATCAATTCTGATGACAGTTCGCCATAAGCTCTCACTCTACCAGTTGTGTTCGAGTAGAGAGCCTTTATAAGGTTAATGTACTTCTTTGGTACTCCTTTCAGTGACAAACACTGCCATAGAACCTCACGATCAACAGAGTCGAATGCCGCCTTAAGGTCGAGAAATACTACCATTGTGGGGCGTCTGAATGTGTGTCTGTGTTCTAGAACCTGACGTAGTGTGAATATCTGATCTATACAACCACGTCCAGGTCGAAAACCAGCCTGGTTTTCTCTAGTCTGCTCTTCACGAGCTTTGTTAGGCGTCGAAGTATTATTGAAGCTAATATTTTAGACACTATATTAGTCAAACTGATTCCTCTGTGATTGTCACAAGAGGACTTTTGTCCTTTCTTATAGACTGGCACAATCAGTGATTGAGACCAGTCAGATGGGATTACGTCCAGTTCCCAAATTCTACCTAAGACCTCAGTTAATCTCATTGCTAATACTGGACCACCATCCTTAAAAATCTCAGGAGTAAACCTGTCAGGGCCTGCTGCTCTCCCTCGTTTCAGATTTCCTATGGCTTTTTCAACTTCGTAAAGAGACGGAGGACCTACATTAACTTGCCATTCAGGTTGACTGGAGATCGTGGGAAACCGAAGTGTGGCTGAAGGCCAGTTGAACTGATCCCTAAAGTGTTCTGCCCATCGATCCAATCTCCTGGATTGAGAATGTATAATATGTCCATCTTTCTCTGAGATTGTTTCGCTAACGGTCGGTTCCTAATTCCGGTTTCCTTAACGAGTCTGAACAATTGTCTGCTATTACCTATTGCCGCTGCCTTTTCCATCTCTCTTGCTTTCGCTACCCACCACTGTTCGCGATCATTGCGTAGACTTCTTGTCAGCTTGCGCTTAAGCTGACTCCGCTCTTCATTATGTTCAGAGCCAGGTGGAATGAGTTTCCGAGCATCTATCAGTGCGATAGATGCTGCTGAGATCCAGTGTTGCTCCCTAACCTTCCGGTTTACCTTACTAGCAGATATCACTGCTGTTTCCACAGCTTTTCGGATATCATTCCATGCTGCATCGGGGTGGGCATCACATACATGGCTGCCTAACTGTTTTCCTAGTTGTTCCTGAAATATACTCTTAGCTTGACTATCATTAAGTAGGCCCTAAGAGGTTTCCTTGCAGCGTCTTTCCTACGTCCAGTAAGACGCAAGCAAATACGCGCTCGCACTAGAGCATGATCTGAATCTAGGCATGTGCTCCAGAATGAGCGACAGTCTTCTATCGAGCCCCTCCATCGGTGGCTGATAGCGATGTGATCTATTTGGGTCCAACGTTGGGACGAATTAGGGGGTCGCCATGTTAAAAGATGTTTTTCCTTATGCTTAAAGTTAGTATTTGCAAGGAACAGGCGGTTATCTGAGCATAGCTGCAACAGACGGTCGCCATTATCTGTTCTTTGAGCCACGACCATAAGATCCACCTAGGTGTCTTTCCCTATCGCTTAGTTTACCTACTTGAGCATTAAAGTCACCGGCCACTATTACTACATCCGAGCGCCTAGCTTTTCGGAGAAGGTCGAAAGCTTTCTGTAAAACTCATCTTTTACATCATCTGAGCTGCAGTCAGTGGGAGAATAGGCAGAGACGACGAAGAGGCAACGACGAGTGTCCCTATCTTTCCGGATTCTTACTGTTCCGTTCAGTCGGACAGCGCACAAACGACTGTCTACTGGGATCCACTCTAAGAGAGCTAGTTCTGCCCTAGGACTCAATGCTATACCTACGCCGGCGAGGCCACGGGAAGCAGAATCAGGGCTTCCAGATACACGAAGCGTGAATCGAGTCGGTTCTTTATTTTGGCATGGTGAGGTCAAATGAATGACGCTACTCGGATCCTGTATGCGCGTTTCGGAGACGCAGCACACATCGATGGCGCGAGATTCTAAAGTTTTAGCTAAGGAAGCCTGTTGTCCTATTTGGCACAGTGTTCGTACGTTAAAAGCTCCTACGTGTAGTTTAGAGCGTGGTTTCAGGAGACCAGGAATGGCGTTCCACGTACTCGAATCGTTTGCCCTAGCGGTGCGAGGTGATAAAGAGACGTGAGGAGGGTTAGTCATGGAGATAAGAGAGGTATTAGGAGGTGTAGGAAGGATTTGAATGTGACCAACTTGGTCTCTTGTGCTGTTACGGGTATGAGGGCTGATGTCACTTCCCGGCTGCCCACACCGTGGAAGGGTATTTCTTGAGGAACCTGAAAAGGAAATTGGATTAGTGTTGGTCTTGACGACCTGGGAGCGTGACCGCAGAGCCCAAGGGACAACTGCTTGAGGCCGGTCGCGCACGGCCTTTTCGTGGAAGGTTTTTACGTGTTAGCTCCGTTCTTCAAAGGGCCTTACCGCCGGAGACGGAAATCCGTGAGGTAAGGTGAGGTGTGACATTTTTAGGGTCGACCTTTTCTAACCCCACCCCTCCTTGTGGGAAGGCAGCATCGCTGTCATGCTGGTTGTCCGAGGGAAACACCTTACTGCTGTCACACCCCTCTACAGTCAGCAGTACGACTTCGCCCTCAGACCTTGAGTTGCTGCTTTTAGTCTTACCGTTCTCCAATCGACCTGCCTGGCATGGTAGAACCTACAGGAACATATGTTCCAGCCAATATAGCTCGGTTGGGTCATCACGATAGGCAAGCCCGACCACCGCGTCAAGGTAGCAGCTTCGGTCGAGATAATCCCTAAATGGTAAAAACTGGTTTGGTAAATACGCTGACGGAATACAATGTTGTATTAACACCTCAAGCAAGAAGGCTAATATGTTTGGAATGCGTTTTTTCCATGAATAGTTATGATAACTGTTATGTCCTCACCTTGTAGGATTACCGCGAATACGATTGCTAAATTTAGATGCGCGTATTTATACGACCAAGAAATGACTCATACATCTGAACGAAGGACACTGGAATCCCGATTGACCCTTTTCCCTGCCTGTTAAGTTTATAACACAAATCTCAAACTCCGCGATATGAATCATGTATTTCAAGCATACTGGGCTTATATAGAAACCTGACACACCACATGACACCAGAAATAGAAAATAGCATTTGTACGAGATCGAGCCAAAAAGTGGCTGTGATTGAGATTGTAATTAATTAATTGGGCATAACGTAAGGATAGTAAATCGTATAATAATAGTCTATTGGTCAAAATAAAGCTCATAATGAGAGGAATATGGATACACATAAACTAGTTACTAGTTTTACATTAATAATATACCTATAATATTAGTCCATAAATAGATCTCAGCAAATACTTTTCGTTGTTCTCGTTGGGATATAACAAAATCATCTGTAGATGTTTCCACTCATTGATATCACTTTAGTCAGAGTTGGAAATCATAACTGGATAACTGTTTATCTCTTAAACGTCTGGTGGAAATTATTTAATTCTCGGACATATTGTGTTGTATAGTGGTTGCTGCAAATGATAACCGTTAAAGTGTCGGGCACTGGTTTTTTGATTTCAGTGAATTAATATTAAGTCTATCGTAGTGTTTAGGAGGTGAAATATCCTTTGTCTGTAAACCAAAAGTAAGGTGGAAAGACTGTCCAACAGTTTACTTTTAGTAGTCTTTCAGTCAGTGTTTACCTTCGAATATGTCCGAAAGATTTAATGTAACAACTAAAGTAATATATTACTACTTTAAAAACTTTCAACTTATTTTTTTGCTAAGAAATTTAAGGAAACAAATCGGTGTTTTTCTTTCTATAAAGCTAATGACATCGCAGGCTGTATTCAATTGGGATCGCGATACTTTGGAAGGTGTACATAACATGTTAGAGTTAATAATTCGTCTAATTTGTGAGTATATGAGTACATTAAAAGTGGCCATTCTTGGAGAGATCAAAGAATACAATGGTAAAGTAAATGAAAAAGAAGATTCTGTTGAATCACAACCTTTGAGAGATAAACATCTTCAATCTATTGGTGTTTTAAGCTGTGGAGCATTTTTATTCACTGAACTATTTCATATACTTTCAATGATTTTTGACTGTGAGACAAATTACCATCAATTGTGTCGAGATAGAAATTGTAATACTGGAACCTATGCGTAAGTTAATCATTGAACATAGTACCTTTACCTTGAACTTATATCTAATACACTTGATATTTACTTATAGTTTTAGATATATAAAGATTTAATTATTACTGAACTAATAGGTCAATAGTAAATGATGTCAATATTAATCTCGTTGTTAGCAAGAATTTAATCAATTTCGTAGATCTGTTTACCTGACAAGCTCGGATTGTCATCAAATTAAGATCCTGGATGACTTGCAAACCTTAAACAATAGAACTCTGATTTGAAGGATCGACATTATAACATTAGTTGTCATGCTTCTATGATGACATATTTTGCTTTTTTTACGTATGAAATTACTCTCGTAATCTTAATGATTATTACCATATTACGGTCTATATATTCCATCATAAACCGTGGCTCCAACTATCTTATTTATGAATATCATTCTTTTGTATGCGTTTATGACTTTTCACGTAACCTATACTAATCAACCTTGATCCTCTAATTTGAAGCCTGCAGCCTATAAGTATGAAGTACTCTAGATTTAGCGAAATTATAATCAATGACTCTTGGTAACTTGGTTTTAAATTAGTTAAACTGGTATATATTTGCTGTTCAGAATTTAAATAACCCTCATCTTACAATTCATTATTTTTCAGCCTTTTACTCAAATCCTTTTGTATCAGGATCCAAATGCCCATTTTACATTTGTTTCAAGGTTTAGCCAACCACGAACTCTTTAAGACTGGTGTAACTTTTGAGCTAAGTGAAGTAGCTTACACATCCTACTGTTTCGCTGTATATGTTAAGACTAGGCGTTGGCTCTAAGTAGTCCTGAAATATACAGGCATCATCACCAAGGTTTGACCTAATAATTCCAAATCAATGGAGCATCTGTAGATTGTTACTAATAAAAATAATGTATTTGTAATCTTCCAATGAATAGAAAAGTTAAATTTTCTGACGTTTCACGACTCAGTGTATGCTATTTTTCCAGAGAATAAATAAAAAAATTAAATTAGCCCAAGTTAAAATGGTACAAAAGAACAGCAAAAATATTTAGTACGATCAATCAAAAATCAGGTCTGACCGAGTCAATGTTCTGTCACTCCAGTCAAGGCGATTTATGGTTTAATCCTAAAGTATTATTTTGTACCTAGAGTAGGAGAAATATATCCCAAACATTAGGGATTGTTGAGATGTGTACAAGACTGAATTTTGTCAGCATTTTTGTATACTCAGTCCACGTGAATTATAGATCAATTCCTAGAAGATTTTACAAAAAATATGTTTTTACTGTCTTGTACACTCTAATAAAGCACTGATTTCAAAAGAAACGGTATCACTTTGTCTTGTAGCTTCCCTCTACAGTGACGTGATATGGGTTTAGATATAGAACAAAGAAGTAGGTTTTTTGTGGATCTTAGCTCTCTTTAAAAGTTTTCTTTATAACCTTTTTTAAAGTGATCCATTCAATGACTGGAGTCAAATCGCTCATAAACATTTGGAAAATATCGTCTTTGCTGAGGCATTACCAACTCCAAGGAATTTTTATCTTGTCAATTTGCTCAATTGTTTTGGTGTTTATAATGGTTTCAGTCTGCTTAGTTGGTTTGCAACTCAATCCTGGTCTAATATAAATGTTAGTTAATGCTTTTAAATTCATACATTACCAATGTGTTCGTTACTGTTTAGAAGCACTTATAATAACCATCCATGAATGCTCTGTTTAAAATAATCACCATTTTCTTCAGTTACGAAGAGTTCATATCTGCTTTTTAGAACTGCTGTAAGCTTAGTATAGTTTTGTAGGCTCAGTCTTCTAGTTTCAAAATCACGACAGCTTTTCATTTTTCACACCGAATGGGGAATAACATATAGACAACTGTCAAAGAAGTAAACAACGACAAATTTAAGGTCAATAAGAACCAATCAACGTCGAGGTGCACAGAACAAGCTTTGAGACACATATGGAGAAAGACAACTGTTAACATTCCAAGCTAAATAAAATAGTGTTGTAGTGTGGCGTTGAGTCGCGGTTGACTATGATCACCACTACAGGAAGACTACGTGCCAGTTAACCGACAAGATCCTCCCTAGGCCAAATTTCAAAAGGCAGTTGGTGGCTGTAGTAGAGATGTATTTGCTGGCGATCTCGTGGTATCAAAATAATACCGAGATCGTGCCAGGGTACAAGTGTGGTTACTGAGCGTAACCGAATTCGTGCAAGGTCACAAGCAACGGAAGAATGTATGTGTTTTGGTACAGTTAAACAAACAAGTACGGTAAAACAATCCTCGGTACAATTGGTTATAATAATAATTGTTTCCATTACACCAATCGTGTTCTCTTGATAAAAGTATGTCACTACAATGTAAAGAAATATCTTTGAAATATTTTGGTTGGTAGTTGTTAATGTTTTATTAGACAATGTTGACGCGTAATATAATGAAGTAGTGACATAACTTATTTACATGTAAAAATTTATATACTCCGGTTTGAACCCCGCTGCCACTAACCTAATTTTATAAAAGTCGATTAACTTGAAGATAGTTTTTGTTTCGAGTTAGAATCATCGATTTATGTCGTAATCAGAAAAACAGTAAAGTTACATAGATGTTTCATCTTAGTGTAAAACAGCTTCTGGATATACCATGCATTCATTCCCAAGTGAACACTGAAATTAAACTAATTAGTTATCACCAAAATTATCCCTATGAATCCCAACTGACTGACGGAAAATTGCCTCTCCTATGTGAATTGAAAATACAGGAAGATAATCACAAGCAATCTGGATTCAGGAGTACTAATCCTGGAATCTCGATCCTGTTATTCATTAGTAATGTTTACTCTGACTAGTTCATAGTTTTTTCCTCCTCTAAGTGTACAAAAACTAGACAAAAGATTTCAACTATCCATGTATTCACATTTTTCTTCTGTTTCTCAATTCACCTGTGAAGGAAGCAGATTTAAAAACTTTTCATTCCTTCCTAATACTTCTCTTTTTTTCAATCTAACCCAAGACACTTTTGTGCGCATCCATTGATTTTTTTCAAGTAGAAATTTAATATTTAATAAATGAGCTAATTAATTTCTATCGTTCACTAATTCACATTTACTAATGTCTACCATTCACATCCTTAAATTTGGTTTTTGATCCCGTTTATTTTTCTATTTCCGTTACTTGGTTGTTTGATTGTTTTATTTTATCAACCATATTGGCTTTCTAATATTTTCTTCCTTCTACTTAGCTTACATCGATATTTCTTCTTCCAATGGCTAAATGCTGTGATTATTTAACTTTGTATACTTTGAAAAGTTATGCAGCCAAGGTTATGTATCGTGTTATTTGGCGTTTATCAAATTTATGTATAGAAGATTTTAAAGATAGAGTAAGTTAATACGGTGATAAATAATCAATAGTTTCTACATTAAGGTATGTAACTGTACGTGTTTGATTTTACTAAAATCTAGCAGACTTATATACACATTATTTTATCAGGCATTCAGTGAAGTTTAATTTGTGTTTTGTCAGTAGTCAATTTATTATTTCATTTACAGAATGATTAAGTTGGTAATTCAAAAATGAGTGGTTTGAATGGCATTAATAGTTAATTTATATTTAAACTTTTGATATCTTTTCTTGTACATATATCAGAGTTTCTCAGACAGGTTATAAATGGTTAAATCCACAAAATGTCCTTAATGTCATCTGTTATTCTGCTATTCACCTTTTGCACATCTAAATATTTTTACTAGTTATTTTCTTTATATGAGCACTTCTCATCTGTTTTCTGATTACTCTTTGATGCGCTTATCTCACGCTCAACCGCCAGCGGCATTGTGAATGTATTTAAATGCGTATCTTTTCTCCTAACTCAATGTCTTTTAATCTATCCAATAAATCTACTGAGAAAAAATTGTATGTTTTTGATCAGTATATTTGGAAGAGCGGAATGAATTGAATGAAGTGAGTGCTTAATTAACTGAAGATAAAGTAATCTACATCGTCTAGGTAATATCTATCGAATCCATTGACTGATTTTGTTCTGCTTTATACTTTGATCATAGGTCGATAGAATGTATGTCGTTCAATTGTCATTCTCATGTGTGTAGAACTCTTATATAGAATTTTTGAATAAATTGTTCATAAAAATATTAAAATCCACTTTAAACACAAATATTTATGAAAATGTGTTTCTATCTAGTATTGATTTTTGCTGTTATTTCATCAACGTGTGAAGGCTAACTTTCAAGTTTTCTTGAAGTTATCTCGAACATGAATTTAAACATTTCAAAAAAAACGTATGTGACTGGTATTGTATTACAGAATTTCGTAATGATCGCGGTTTGATTTGTACATCGGTTACTGATGAAAAGAATAATAACTATAGATTACTGTTATTTGAAGAGTTATTCGAGTTGCATGCTATCTTAATGACATAAAATGTATAAATGTATGTCATATATCTTGCTTAATAAAACATGACGACATAGGGAAAATATGTTGCCTAAGATGTATATTGTTCATTATCATTGTATGGTGAAAATGACTGTTCAGAAAGTCAAGTCTTTAAAGTCTGATTAATTTAATTAATAATTCGGTGTTCGTTAACAAATCGTTCAACTTATTCTCCCCTAATCTGAAATATCTGGAATCCATATTGTAACGAAGCTTCTAACAATATGTATGTTTACTATTCTGTAATTGTCGTATTTCTTTAGTGAATATTAACTCATTATGAGAACAATCTTTCAATTTTGTTACTATCTTCAACGGTTCGAAAATGTTTTGATGGTAACTTACGCTAGGCGTCATTTTGATGTGGACTTGAATAAAGACACATTTTACAAAAACAAAGTTTTGATATAAATTAAAGGAACACAATCATGTGGAACGAATGAACGTATAACATAAGATACAATTTATCCTAATCACTGAACTTCATATTCTGTTGTAAAGATAATGACATCTAAGTGATTTACATGAATACTTTTTTACACAAGTAGCCTTTATCATTTGAACGGTTTAGTAAAAGAAGAAAAAAGGTTTTATTTGATTTTTTTAAGGTTAAATAATATTGATATGTTCAGTTATTTTTCTGATGTCTTATGTCTACTGATCTACAGTTGTGTTGTATTTCTTGTTCTTTTATTTAAAAAACACAGGATTCACGTATATTTGAGCTGATCACTAGCATTCGAGTTTTAACATATCGTTTGGTAGATTTAAATGTTGCAGATAATCTTGGTTCTTTATTGACATCAGAAGAATGTAGTTTTTGCTTAGGTAGTTTAATGTTCACTGTTTTTGAACCGAATTGGGATGATGTTATCTTACGATATAACAAAAACAATTTTAATCAACAATTAAACGATCAAACATCATTGTTTTCTATTTCTGTAATTGATAAATTACATTACAGTCTGTTGCTTACAGCTATATCACCACCACAAGGTGTAGGTGGTGCAACGTTTAACGGACGTATGATGGCTTTAAGAGAACTTATCCAACAATTGGAAGTATCAAAACAATTTGAAAATGTTAATAATTCATCTAGTAATTGGAATAAAAACAATCAAAGAAGATCACGTCCAATTGTTTCACTTACATCAGCTAGTTTATTAGCTACAGAAAATGCTGCATTCTTAGCTAAACGTCAACGGAGACGAGTTTTACGCTTAGATCAGTTAATGTTTTGGATTCAAGATAACGAAGTGATATCCAAATCTCTACGTAAGTATTTTCAATAATATTGAATATTCATTATACTCAATGAATAACCTTAAGTAAGTACAGGTGTTTTTATATTTTAGCAGTTCAACTAAGTGTTGTCTATATAGTATTTTGGTTCTCAGTGTCACTTTTTTCTTACCATATACTTGGGTAGGTTTGCAAATACAATTGTTTACAAAATTCCCACTTTCATTCATATTGCCCCATGGGCATTGCTTACCGGAGGTTTCGTTATGATCTGAACCTTTCAAGTTATGCAAATGTATTAAGCCTTGACTTTAAAACAAATGACATTTTATCCAAGTTTGGTACTTCTTTTCATTTGATCAGTAGTGAGATGAACTTAGTTCTTATGATTAATATTTTCTTTATTTCCTGTCTAAACGTTTTTTTTATATTTTTAGACAAATTGGATAATACAGCGTATATGACTACTTTAAATAACTTTTTCCGTGCTCTTGGTGAGCGTATTACAAATGATGATTTAACAACTTTATGGCATCGAACATCACATCAAAATGGTGCAGCAGTAGATAATATATTAAATTTACTCACAGATTTGGCATCGTCTCGATTTACTCAATCTCAATTAAAGCATTTATTTTTTCTTGTTGAACTGGTTAGTTGAACGCTTTACTTTATTTATAGGCTTTATTTAAAGTTCATTTTTAAATCAATCCTCACGAGTTAACATTAACTGAAATAATTTTGATGAATACAGTGAATCATCGAACAGCTTTTGTCATAATTTGAGATTTATCAACATTACAAGCCGAAAAATGTACGTGTTATGGAATATGCAACCTTTAGATTTTGCAATGAGCATGATAACATTTGACAATTAAATTGTTACTTACCGGTTTTCACATTTGAAACTCAGTCCATTTGCAGTATAGTGCGTTCTTCACGTAATATTATCGGTAGTCCGTGGTTTTGTTGTTTCTTTAGTTGATGCTAGTTAATGATGAAAATTCCCTTCAACTTGTTTGTAATGTATCCAAATCATTTTTGACTACCATAAATACTGTTAATTTTTAGTTTGCAATTTTCAAACACTATTTTATCACACTTCTATTGATGTCATCTGTTCTTGTATTGTTTGATTTATTTTCATGGTAACATTTTTATTGAATAGTATATTTGGAATTTTCATATCTTGTTTTATAAATTTTTTCAATTAACGTTAATTTTATCTAAAAAATTAATTATTAGAATAGTTAGAAGTAAGACTGTTCAAAGTAGTGTTTTCAACGTTCTTGTGTATATTAGTATTAACTTAAATGTTTTGTAGTGCACATGTCTCTTGTATATCATATTGATGTACAGTTAAATTTAATTTTACAGTATCTAAGCGTAAATAGGCTGTTCCCCAAGTAATCTACAAACGTATTAGTGACTCATTGATAACCTGGCTATGAAGCTAAGAATTTTCAGATATTTATTAGAAATACTTTTCAAATTTTCACCTTTGTTATAACCTAAGAAAATATACGATGTTGAAATTTATACGACAGGCTACACTGAAAAGTCGTTCATGGATTACATCTAACGGATGCATTCCAGGTGAGGAATGGTTTCAAACAGGGCTGCTTACTCTGATTTTTTCTCTTTCTTCTGGTGGTTGACAGGATTAGAAAGACCTCCACATCTGAAAGGAAGTATGGAATACAATTGATAGCTTGCTTGCAACTAGGCTGTTTGGACTTTGCAGATGACCTAGCTCTTCTATCCCATACCCACCAACAAGTACAGGTGAGGAAAGCCATTGTAGTAGCAACCTCTGCATCAGTAGGCCTCAACATACACAAACGTGAAAGAACACACTGCATCAGAAATTGAAAGCAGATATGAAATTGATGAATAGCAACTGGGAACAAGTGGAAAGAATTTCTCAGTACAGAGTTGGATGGAGAATGCTAGTGGTTGGTTTGTGCTACTCCACGAGGGCTAACAGGCGTAAACAAGTAATCAAAGTAATAAGTACAGCAACAGAATAGCAATGAACTAAATCTATCTTTCCATTCACTCACATGTTTTTACCAAAGTTGAATAATGGTTAGTGGTAGGATCCAGGGCTCACATTTCTTCCTACTTGCGATTAGTCAGTCGGGTATACCTGCGTCTTAGTGAAGATTAAAATTATTCACAAATTTCTCATATAAATGGCGTTGCCCGTTTCTAGAGAATTAGTGTGAACTGAACAGTTATTTAAAACAACATCATTGTTTTCTAACCATGCTAAACATGAACATGTAACGCTAATGCAAAATGCATTACGGTATAAATTGTAAAAAGTTCATTTATAAAAGTGTTCTCCAAATTATAATTGGAAGATTGCACTTTATTCAATTTTCATGTAATAAACTGGTTATTATTGATTTAAATTATTCATATCTGCTAATCAGTCGATCCACATATAATAGTATCCAAAGTTTAATGCCCAAATTATAAAATACCTTCGTCATTATCATACACTTTTGAACTTGATGAGCTTTCCCTTTAGGTGACATGACTAACTCATAACTAAAATGATAATAAAAGCAGTTTAAATTAATTACGAAGTTTCCATGACTTTTAATAATGACATAACAGGTAGATTATAGGTATTATCTATATTAGTCATGTTTATATAATTCTTCAACTTACTTAAATTTCTTTAGAGCTGGATGAATCTAGATCTACAAGCAATTTCACATAACTTTCCTGATATTAAATCTAATAACAATCGAAAATCTAAAACATCTCTTATTCAATTACCTCCCCCTGATGAGCCATCTACCATACGTCATGCACGTGCAAGACTATTGAATATGATTGGTAGAATTGGAATATCTTCGAGAGATCCTAACACAGCTGATATGTGCATAGAATTATTATGGCGTTTAGCTCATTCAGATTATTCAGAAGAAGCAAAAACTTTTTCCAGACAAAATTATAAACCAAAACAATCATCACCACAAAAGATAACTTTTGTAGATCGTATTCTTGTTTCACATGGGCACAAAATGGACACAACAGATTCTACTGTAGCGCTGGAATTCCCAAAATATATGCACCCTGAACCGATTGAAGCAGCTTTAGCCCAACAGTTAGTTATTATTCGTGAATTTCATTGTTCAGGTGTAGAGCAAAGAATACGAGCGATGCGTTGGTTGTTAGAAGCTGTAGGTCATATAAGCAGGGTGAGCTATTCATTTTTAATTGACATGTCAGTTGTTTAGAGTATAATATGTATATTTTTGCGTCATTATTTATTTACTGTCATTTATTGCGTTTACGTCCTATCCTAATAAGATGAAGCTTAAACAGCTTTTTTATATAAATAGTATTACGTATTCTGTTATTGCAGTTCTCTAACAAAACTGAATTCCTGATGTTCATATGGGTAAAGTTTACAGTGTAAAAACAAATCATGTGTAACTAATAAACAATCTGTTTAAAATAAATAAAAAAAAATTTTTAGTGTCCTATTTCATAGAAAATTGAATTTCTGACTTTTCACGGTCATTTCTACAGAAATACAAGTTATAAAGTGAAATCATCTAAGTGATACTTATAAAATATTTATTTGTTAGGTATTATTTGTTAAGTGATCTGTTTTTCAAATAAATAAGTTTTTAATGTTAAATAAATGGAATAAATAATACTATGGAATTAACCTTAAGTGTTGTACCTGATAGTTTATCTTGAACGCGTAAACATAAAATGGAAGTCTTATTGCTTAGACAATATGATCCTTTAATTGTTTTTAATCTATAGTGAATGATGTACAACGTTTTTATCGACAATACCAAGAGTTAGTTTCTCGGTGATTAAACAATCTTTCAATTTGATGACATTCCTCTAACTGATATCTCCAGGATACAATTCACCAGTATCTGCTAACCGTTCATTTTGAAAGCTATTATAGCGATTAGTTATCTAACGTGAAAATATTGTTGATCAAGTGTAAATTCTGAAACATATCGAGTATCATAGAATCTCTTTTTATTGTTTAGTTTGTGCAGAGAATATTGAAAAATACATATCTAGTGTTACAACGCACTACATATTTTACTTTTGACTTGTAAAACTTAATATATCCAGTAATTAACCTATCGAAAAGTTATGTTTTTCAACAAATTTGAGATTTTTAATCAGCGTTAATCATCAAAGGTTATAGAGAATGTTAGTAGTGATTAGATTTTTTTAAGTTCACTTATTTGAATCTCTATTATATCTTTTACACAAAGATTAAATTTCGGACACTCAGTTTCATCTTCTGTTTGGTTTTGTTTTATATTTTAATTGGAACGTTATTTATGATCAAAAAGATTGTAATATGAAACACTGATAACGTTTTTTCTGAATTCACTAGATATAAGTTCAGATTACATAACGAATTCATATTTGATCTCAGCTGTATTTCAAATAATTTCGTAATTTTTTTTCCATTGTTTCTTTCTGTAAAATCTAAATAATTTTAACTGTCTTTATTTACAGAACTCCCTGACATTTTTTATGCTAGCCTATCTAAAATCCTTATTGGAATTCATATTGAAAAATTTTGTTGGAAAAGCTAAACGAGTAAGTCATCTTTCGTTTAGTTATATTTACGTATTGGTTCACCTAGCGTTTCTCTACAGATTGTTTATTTATTCCTTTGTTAATTTAAAACTAGCAAAGAATAAGATTTGAGATAGTTTATCTACATAGCATTAGGATACTATTTGATTACAAGTAATAGTAAATATAATTCTCGATGAAAATTAGATTTGAGCAAAACTATTCTATTTGAAGTTATTTGTCATCACGAACTTGTTGGTTATTTTGTCCTAGATTGGAGATGAATTCTAAAGTTCTGTTGAGAAGTCGTGACTAGCAAAGTCCATTCACATCGAGATTGAGATATATCTGCGGCCGAAGGAAAAGGGTATTGGTTGCTTACTTTTGCGAAAATGAGAACTACTAAATTCTATTTCATAGGTTGTGGTGTATTTTGCTGTCTCGGAAGCATCAAAGTTGTAAATTTTGTTCCATGTATGTTCCTTGCCAAGCCATGTTGAAAAGTTTCCAAACGAAACTTAACATTTTTCTATTATTATTTGGTTTACAATGCTTTTCTAATTGATTTCATTTTCTGATGAAATAGATCTTAAAACTAAACAGTCTCTACACAGCTTTTTGTTTTAGTAAATTATCACTTTTTTAAAAACATAACAAATTTTCCATACCCATTGGGCAAAAATAACCGTAGTCAATTTTCATTTCTACAAAATTGGATTGTAAATCTACAGTATTTTTTGTAGTTAGTAGTTTTATACTTTGTAAAATCTATTTTATTTTAACGTCAGTTAATACCTATCGATTATTTATTGTCAAAATATAATTTTAATAATTATTCATTCGTTCATTATTAATAAAGGATCATCTTCATGAACTTAATCGTTCACATGAATTGATTACTCGCGTTGTCGATTCTTTACTGCATTATGAAAAATGGGCGATTTCATCTCATGGTGATCTCTTAACTGCAGATAGTTTGGATGCACTTGGTTTCAGGCATAGTGATGTAAGTTATTTTTGAATCACAGTAATTTACTAATTTCTGTGATTACCTTTGATTTGTGCTATGCCTATGAGGTTTTTCTTATGTTTTCGAGAAACTCTCAATTTGTTATTCAGCAGTCTTATATTCTTGTATTCGAGAAGAATTTTTATCCAAGATTCACTTGCAAATATCATCTATTGAGAAAAATAACATTTTCTTCATTCATGATTCTACTTTATTGAAGGGGGAATTTTCCAGAGAATGTTACTTGTCTGAAACCAACATGATCTGCTAGAACTACTTATAGATATGTTGGGAGCATTGATTGTGTGATAAGTGATCGGATAACCTTTCCAACCTGATAGATAGGTTTGTAACTGATTTTAGATTGTTGTCAACATTGTACCATAAATAAATAGATTTACGGAAATAGGTATCAGATGTATAGAATCTCAAGCAAACTAAACTTACAATTAGCATAGGACTTTGTGATGGTTGAATTTCTTTTTCTACCTGTGCATAAATACATAATCTGTTGTTTCCACCTTTAAGATATAAGAGAAAATGGACGCGTACTTACATTGGCACTGTAGTGAACAGATTCCGGGTGGAGACAATCGAATTATATATTTAACACAAAATTACCGAGTTACTTGGCAAAGTAGGAAAACCATACTACAATACTTAATTTGCAAAATGTTCAATAATTGTCTCAAAGTTCATTGTTCTTGCATTTCCATACTAATTACTTTCTATTCCCACTCTTCCTTTCTTGATCTTCCCCATCTTCTGCTGCTAGACATTACATTCCTGACTCGCGTCATGTACTACTTATATCAATATAAGTAGCACGCACCACAGTACTTATTATTTCTGTTTTCCTGCTTATGAGTTTCGATTGTTTTTATTCACAAAACATTCAATTTATCCAAGTATTTACTCTTAACTGGTAATAGTTTGTCCCAAATTGTTGCAGTTAGGAAGTATATCAGTTAAACTTGTTACAAAATCTCTATGTTATGTTAATTATGGTGATCCAGACATTTAAATAATGCTTTTTCAATTATCTCATGTTTATGAGGAATAAAATACTTTAAAACTGGAAAAGAAGGTTGAGCTAATGCTTGATACCAGCTTGCCGAAGCTGATCTGTCAAAACACTCGATGTAATTCAGTGTGATTTTGTCAGCGTACAAAGTACCTTTATCGAGTTTAATGTTTTTTTTTTAAATATCCGGTATTTATGTGTTTTTCGTATTCAGGTAATCAAGCGGCATTTTGACCTTTTGAATTTCTTACTTCGAAACGCTGAACTAACATTGAGCGTTGAACGTGCGAAAGCTTTATGGGAAACATTGATTGGTCAAACGCGTGCTGCCCCATTTGATCGTGAGGTGATGTATTATTCTACAAATATTTTCTACTGTTTATGTGATTTAAAGTATTATTCAAAGTCATTTCTTAGAAGCCATACTAATTGCATTGTATCTAGCAATGCAATTCACCATACCCATTTTGTTGCACTTGGCAGTCATACCCTCATACCAGTGTTCACAGAAAGATTGAAATTTAATGGTAATCACTTCAAATACCAAAACGTTATTCATTAAGCTGTTGAGTCTAAATAACAACACCGTTGTCCAAGACGTATGATATTATTTGTAAGCGTTCGTATTTCCCTGTTGTCAAAATTCAGAAATTCATTTAACCAGTCTTTGTTGGTGGGTGTCCGACTTAACTGGATGGCCTTTTATTGCTCACAAATACGAGTTTTAGCGTCTTTTTTTGCATTGTATCTACACACAAATGAGATTAAATAGGAAATATTTGGTATTTCATATGCTATGACTTTTGTTAAGTATGATGTTCAGATTATTGGATTTATTTAGAAAAGAGATATTATGTTGTAATGTCTTATTCATATTCTACTAATTTACTATGTGATCAATAAATCCTACTAATTTTTTCAAAGTGAGATTGGTTAAACAGTGAAGTTAATACACTTTATTTGCTAACAAAAAAATCTTTATTTCTTTTGATTAATTTAATGTTAGATGTCAGATATCTGTTTTTGTTCATCCTCATATATGAATTTATCATTTATACAAGTCGATTTCGCAGATTTCTTTTCAGTTTAAATGTTAGATTGCTGAAAACTGCAGAAATATTGATAACGAGCGAGAATTCAGTAGCTTTTTCTATTACTACCATGTATAATAAATTTAGTAGAGGGAATTCAGAATTCAAGTTGAATGTTATATCATTATTCACTTGTTTATAACTATATGTATATCGCTAATTTCAGGAAAGGCAATATATGATATTTGAATTTCACTATTGTTGGTGTTAGAGACGGAATTCCGATCAATCTCTTTTTCGTGTGTGTATCGTTGTCAGATTACTTCGATATTACTATGAAGTGACAAGCATTTAAGTAAAGATAGACAGTGGCAAACAGTGGAATCAAGAACTCACGATCCCATTGACAGACACTACTCATCTTTACTTAAGACAATATATACTTATCAAAGAGTTTTTACTTTTAATCAGAAATCTATATTTATAAGTGGAGCAAACAAACATGTAGCAATTAACAGCTTTTTTCACTCCATTATGACACCTCTTTTAATTTGTATAAAAAAATTCGTAGTCTCACAAAACACTCATGTCCAATTCATTTACTAGTTGTTTTCTTTAAAAGCAGAATATACGCCTGACCATGCATTATATTCCAGAATAGTTTTATATTGAAACAAAACCACTGTCTGCGTACATCTAATTTTCCAGTTGTGATATGAGGCAAATCTTAGTTTAACTTTTGACTATTTGAACTTATATGTCGCTTGAAAAAAAAGTTCTAACGTTTGAATAAATTATTTTCTATTTCTTTCCTTTGGTTGTTTTCTTTTAATTTATCAAATTTAGCAAGCATTTATTTGGTTTTCATCATGTTTAAATTTTCTTGATACTGATGCTCAAGCATTTGTTTTTACAAAAGTGATTTTAAAATCAAATCCTGCTTTATTTCGTTCAATCGCTGGTAAGTATGATACTTAGTCTTTTTTCTTTTTACAAATTGTTTTCTTATTCTTGTATAAACTGTGAATATTATCAGTGAAAAGTTTTATAAACAATCTTCTTTAATCTAATGTATTTTTATGATGAAATTAAAGAATAGTATTTTTAAACGGAGCAAGAATGAAGATTGGTGCAGAATAATATGAACTCATTTTATTTTGTTAGGTTCTTATCTCATAAAATGAATTCATATTTATTCTGCACCAATCTTTGTTCTTGCTCTGATTAAGATAGTAAAGGGAACTATGTGCATGAAATAGTTTGAATTATTTTTTCTGGTTAGTGTTTTTTTAAGCGAGTTAGTTTTCTACGGGAGACTGTCAACATTATCCGGAACTCGTACGACGGACTACAGTGCAAAGTAGTGCATGGAGGACAGCTGACAGATGCATTTAAAGTAAAGACCGGAGTCAGACAAGGCTGTCTGCTCTCTCCCTACCTCTTTCTTCTGGTGGTCGACTGGATTAGGAAGACCTCCATATCTGAGGGAAAACACGGCATACAATGACAGCTCAGAATCAATTGCAGATAAAGACAGCCAGTGTAGCAGCAGTCTCTGCATCAGTAGACCTCAACATACACAAGGATAAAATCAAAGTCCTTAAATGCACCACGGAGAATACCAACTCAATCACACTTGATGGAGAGGCTCTGGAATAGGTGCAAACTTTCAAGTAGCCTGTCAGCAGCATCATCGATGAACAAGGAGGATCCGATGCAGATGTAAATGCAAAGATTAGCAAAGCAAGAGCTGCACTCCTACAATTGAAGAACATATGGAACTCAAAACAACCTTCAACCAATATCAAAGTCAGAATCTTCAATACGAACATCAAGACAATTATACTGAACGAAGTTGAAACTTGGAGAACTACTACAACCATCATCAAGAAAGTGCAAGCATTTATAAATAGTTGTCTACGCAAGATATTCAACATCCATTGGCCGGATACCATCAGCAACAACCTACTGTGGGAGAGAACAAACCAGCTTCCAGATGAAGAGGAAATTAGGAAAAGACGATGGAAATGGTTAGGACATACTTTGAAGGAAATCATCAAACTGCACCACGAGGCAAGCCCTAGCTTGGAATCCTGAAGGGAAACGAAAAGGAGGAAAGCCAAAGAACACATTACGTCAGAAATGGAATCAGATATGAAAAGGATGAATAACAACTGGAAGGAGCTGGAAATGATTGCCCAGTTCAGAGTTCTATGGAAAATGCTTGTGAGCAGCCTATGTTCCTTTACGAGGAGTAAAAGGCGTAAGTAAGTAAGTATGTGTATGAAATAGTATTTTTAGTATTTTTTTATGGCAAGAAATAGAAAACAGGATAGTATGATAAATTGTATCAACTTTTGATTGATAGTAAGCATGTTGACTGTTGTTTAGTAAATTAATCTGTCATATTATTAGGATTATTTTCATGCATAAAAAATCATTTGAATGTACTTGAAGTTCAAATCAGATTGTAGTGTTGGTTACTATGTTAAGCCCATGTACTTTATTCTAACTTCTGGACTGGCCAATTCATCCATTCTTCTTGAGTCACGTTCTGACCTTGTTAATTGTTCACTTATCAACCTTGACTGTTTTTACATGAGCACATATGTGTGTACACTTCTTATTCTATTCATCACATGTCTGTAACTTATTTTTATCTGGCTATAAATATTGATCAACGCTTGATTAAATGGAGTTGTCTCGTAAGCCTCCTCCACCGCGCGTCACTTTGTTTCGCTCTCTTCTATCCTTCTCATTTCTTGTCCAGATGAGTGTACGAAACATATGTATTCCAAAATCCATTATCGTATTCGACTTATTTAATTCCGTTATTCACCAGCGCGATTTAAGTCGGTGATATTATACGAGGAACGACGATATACATATTTCCACATGTATACCTCAAATAGCAATCAAAAACGACCGAAGTGCAGTCAGATCCTGTCTATTGAAAATACCGTAAATAAACAATACTAACTGACAGTATTCTTTTAGACAGACAAAACAAAGAATTCAAAAAATGTTTTATCACCTAAATGGATAAATATGTTAAGATATTGTCAATCAACTGGTTGGTATTTTTCCACAACTTCTGACATACTGTGGTGTGGGTCACTTATATCCACATAAGTAGTATATAACGGTGGTCAGGCATGGAATGTATTTCAGCAGAAGATCGATAAGGAAAGAACGGGAACGGAACGCGATTAGTATGGAAATGCATGAACAATGAAATCTGAGACAATGGACTGATATTTGCAAAAGAAACTGTCAGGTTTGAGACGATAGATTAATATTTTGCAAATTAACTTTTACTATATGGTTCTCAAATTTTAGTGAGATGCTCTGTAATTCCGTGTCTAATACATTCGATTGTCCCCACTCGTGTTATTTTTCACTACAATACCATCCAAAGAGTTTGGATAGTCTTCAACAAATGTTTGTTCCGAAATTATTCATAATTTTGTGAATTTATCAAATTCTCATGAGAAAAGTATGGATGAATGGCATTTGTCAGTCTAATATTTTTTCCAAATATGAATCTGCTGATATGTATATCTGGTAAACATTTCCCAAAGTAAAATGTTTATCTTTTTTGCATCAATCGTACTACTGTTCACATTTTTTGAACAAATTTTGTTTTACAATGCATGTTTTTTTCAAAAAAAAAAAAACTCTAGCTAGATGCACTTTTCCAGATAATATTTTAAGGAAAATAATTCGTTCTCGTTTACTTTATGCATATTTATAATCATTGTGATATGCTAATTGATTAATTTGGGTAGGTAAACTAAAAAGTATAGGAATGTGAACGATGCACAAATTGAAAGTTGATTAGTTGTTGCGTGACTTCTTTTTTGCTGTAAATGATCCATTCTTTTATCTATTAACCTTTATCGTCTAGGTTGGATAGTGTGTACATTATTGACAGTTAGTTTTTGGATATTTTTGTAATAAATCTGCTTGCTTGGGACTCGAAAATGATCTCTTAAGCGATGATCAGTTCTCCTATATAATTCATAGAAGGCATGATGAAAAAGACGAATTCCTACTTTTTGCATAGGTTATCGCTTTAAGAAATGATATAAGGGTTTAGTAAAGATTGGTTTATTTTGTAGATAGTACTTATTACGAATTTGCTTATATTTTATCCATGGGAGGGGTCATTATTACATACTTTTGAGTCTTATGCTAAGTTGAAAATAGATCACCGATGCTCCACAATCTTTCAATAGTAACCTCGTTAAGGAGAATCTGTGATGCACATTTGCTACATTTTTTAAATCATGTCAATATTGACACACGTTTAACTAATTGAATAGTGAATGTAACACACAATTTCGCTTTTTTCCAATATTTGTCTTAATTCTGAACTGTAAAATGGAAATCAGAACTTTCAAGTTATTTATCTATTCAGTTTGAAGTAATTCAATCTCTGTTAACAATAAGGTCGAGTTGTATGTTGTATATCATTGCTTCTTATAAATTACTGAATGTCAAGTACAATCATAAACTTTACTTCTTCACATATATAATATATGCACTGATATATTCAGCAACTATTTATACTACATTTTACCAAATGATTGATTGCGGATTACTGAATTGTATATGTTTATACAGTGAAAAAGTATTGAACTTATTTATTTTCCATTTCATTTATTTCAGACGTAATATAAATCCTGTTTATTTCTCTAGGGTTGAATTCTTTCAAGTTATGATTTTTTTTTTCGAAATAATCAAAAATGTACTTCATCTAGCAAATATAGTGAGAAGATAACAAAATGAAGAGAAGTGAATATTTAATCGCCTCATTAGTTTGTTTTTTATATAATACAATAATAGGACATAAACAATTGATGATTTATTATGTAATTTATTTAAATGAATATATAAAAATTCATTATATTTATATTCTAGTTTACTTTTATTTCTTCAATATTATTGCTGTTTGTTGTGGTTTAGGTTTTGAATGTTTCAAAGGATTTTTTGAGAAAGTCAATTTAAATGAAGGTCGTATGAAACAAGTGGCAAAATCGTGGGTACGTGATTAAATTACAATATTAGTTATAATTTTATCCTGTATTATAGAAATTCCATTTAGGAAGTCTGAATATACTGATATGAAATGGAATAAGATGTTATAACAGATGGCATTTATTTTGTATGAAGAAACTTTCAATACGAGATTGGTAGAGTTGTAATTAAATCTGATTTATAACCTTAAAAAACACAAAGTGATCTATGTAGTAACAGTGAAATATTTCAAATTGTCTTTTATACATATGGATAGGATTATACCTGATACTTATTTTCATTACTGCTAACTTTTAAAAGTAATTTGAACTTTATATACCATATGAATGACCACTTCGGATGAAGCAACAAGTTTTGAGTCTAGTATTTCGATAACTTTAAAGTGTACTAAATCATGATTACAGATGCTCTTATCTAATTGTTTAATCAAGAATCAGATTTTAAGACCAAAAGTGTACTAAGTCATTTACAACAGAAAATTAGTCAGTTATATATGATACATTATGTTTGTCCTCTCTCTCGTTAGCCAATCACAGGTAAATAGCCTAAATACATCTGTTGTATAACACAGAACACTTTAGGCACTGAGTTGATATTCAGTAATTAAACACTGTCACTTCATCATGAAAATGATCCTAAAATCATTAAAAAAGTTTCTGTGAATGCATAAAAGTGTTATATGAACAGTTTTATTCGCTTTTGCAAACAAATTTTCAAGATAACCATTGTTTAAATGAATATTTGCTTGTTTTATTTTTTGTTGTAGCATGTTGAAAGACCAGATTTAATTGGTTTAGATTTTCTGTGGGATTTATACCTTGCTCTACCATCAACTGATGCAAGCTTAGATGGTGGACATTCAAATCGTCTAGTAGAGAATGAAATATATACTAAGTCGAACCCGGCTATTGATAAGCCGTGTGAAACTAAATCAAGTGTTGGTGACTCATCATCAAAACAACAACAGATTGGAGCATTCAAAGTGTCAACATTCTCGTCATCAAAGTCACCTCTAGATGCTGCAAAACCAGCTAGATTACTTTTATTAAATGTACACTGGGGCCAATTAGCGCCAAAGTTAAGACGAGATCCAGAATCATGTTATCGTCGTTTCTTTGATACTTGTAGACGACGATTAGAAGTATGTTTTTGTTAAAAAAATTAATATTTATAATATGGTTTTCAGAAGTTATATGTACATATATATTGCAAACTATCAATAAAACATAAAGACAAAATAAAGCTAACGATCGGGTGGCCGTTATGAAATTCGTCTGTAAATTTGAGTCTGGAATTTTATGTTCTAAATGAGGAACCGGTATTGTTCTACTGTCAACGTTATCTGAAACAAACGAATGAACGAATACAACGATTTAGTGAATCAAAAAAGTCCGAAAGTGGGTTGTAAAAGTATATGGGTTTGAATGAAATAGAAAGATACAGTCTGTCTCAACCAAATCTATAAAATTGACAACACAATCTAAGTGTTGGTTAAACGCTATGTACCGAATCAGTGTCGACCATTAATTAAATTCAATATTGAATTAAATGTACCCGTTGTCAAATACAAACAAGTGAACTGGTACATAATGTTTTTCGATAATCCTACATTTGGATAAACATACTTAAAGTTTGGGTCGTATAAAAGCCAGTTGCCAGGGTGCCACTACTGATTTTTCGTGTAGTGTGTGTTTTGGAATTGAAGAAATTATTGATTTTGATGTATAGGATAGAACATCTTTAATAAATCTTTCGCACATTTTAGTATCAGGTTATTTCGATAGTTTTACAAGATATCTTTATCCATTATTAAATATTTTTCCATAACTCTTCTAAACAGCTTTCACTATGAAAATACTATGTAATACAAGTTGAATTTGCTTACAATCGTACTAGACTATTTGTGTTCAAGTAATCTGACTACTTATAAGTAGATTGTCTGTCTCTTAGCTAAAAGTTTTGTGACAATGTCGGGAATCAGAAATATTTGAAAACCGCTAAAATACATAAAAAAGCACAATATTTCAGAAAAAATTAATATAGACAATCTAAATCATGTCGGAAATGGTTTTATTTGTAGAGTGCTTTGTTTTTCTTCGAAGCGTGATGTCTGTTGCCAGAGTAGGTTGTAAGTGTGCTTAAGAAAACTAAACCAAGACGGTAAGACTATAATTTATGGACGAACCAATCAGATTTAGGATAAAAGGTCTGGATTTTGGCGCGAAATTCACTCACCAATTTGGCCAAATAGCGTCTCGGCATTTTAGCTGATGTCAGTTCGTGATGAAAAACCGTAAATCTAATTCCTAACCTAACCATCAACTGTGAATTATAATCTTCATTCTTCCAACCCTCATTTGGCACTAGTAAGTAGGTAGACACTCTCAATGTCACTTTTACGCCACTGAAAGGTCGTCCATAAATTATAGTCACCACCAAAACATAGCGTCGGTTCACTATGTCATTTGCTGTTTGTTTGAGCCATGTCGATAAGTGCTCAATACCCGTTTAAGTCCATGCAATCACTGTGACTAGTCATTAAAAGTTTTGTGTGACACGACCCACAATCTGTTATAAGTGCGAACATGGATTCACTTTTCCTTAAGATCCAGAACTTTGAGACTATTTTTGTGCATTTTACCATTTCAAATGATATTTTCATTGCTCAGTCTCTTTTACTTCCATGGGATAATGGCACTTCTACTACTTTAGTACTCATCTAGATAGTTTCCTGTCACTGTTCTGATATTTCGTGGTAATATTTGTACCAGTGCAAATATGTGGCAGGTTTTAAGTTGCTTTTAACTTAATGCCTTTAAGTTACCAGCCTACATGATGAATTATGAAGCCACGGAATTAAGTTTTTACAACTCTAATTGAAGTTCCTTTCTTATTTTATTTGTGTTGCGATTCGTATGATTATTTCACTGCTTGATTGATTGCTTTGTTGTATCATTCTGTTTTGATATTTGTAAGAGAAAGAATATTGCTATATAACTTTGTTTTTGTAGAATAATTATATCACTAATTTTTGTCGTTGAATATGTAACTGTTAAAAGTTTGAACTATCCGTGACGTCAAACCTTTCGCTTTGTTCAGTTTTAAATTTGTCAGCCAGTTATAATGATATTCTGGCACTCGTAGTCCAGATACGATTGTGTTTTCATAATTTAAGTTTATATTATCAAGGTTCTGAAGGTACAAATCGAGGTGCACTTTGTCTATGAAAGGGATTTACAGTTAACCTTTCGGGAACCTCTAGGACTTTAGCGTTAAGTCACTTAGATTTGTAACTATCATCAGCTATAGGGACCAGACGAAATCTCAGTTCTATAGTAATTTGCTCATGTTTTAATTAGCTTGATAATACCACCTCTGATTTCATTGCTGGGTAGCACGTATATAGGTACTAGATGACATCAGTCCCTTCAGGATTCCAGTTATACCTTTCTGATGCATCCCAGGTACCAAGAAATACAGGACCACGGTTTTCTATTGATTTTCTTTAGCCACCTAAAACCATATTCGTATTGTGAACATTTGGGCACTCTCCAGGTTACAAGGCTGAGTAGTCACTCATATCTATACTATAAAGGAATATGTAAATATGTTTAGCATAGTATTGTCATAATACCAGCCATCTATAAAATGCTACTAAGCTACTCTTTGTTTTTTTAGACCATCGTTATCTGAAACAAATATATTTTTAAGGAAGAATTCGAATTGACAAAGAATTTATTAGTTTAAATTGTTTTTATTACTTGCCTTCGCAGTTATCTTCTGCCTCCTTACTTTCATTTTGCTTATTTTCACAGACTAACTACGCTTTAGGTCGCGGTTTAATCACTGAATATGGAATCACATCAGTTTTGGCAGAGACTGGCGAATTACTGGCTTCATTGATGCTAGGACTTGGTCCTGCGACTAAAGCAAAACATTGTACTCGTACTGCAGCTAAATTGGCTATACGTCGTTTATTAGGTTTAGTTTATGCATATATTCAATCAGTTGAGGTAAGTGTGTCACTTGTTAAGTTTATCTGTTAAACACTTCTGTACTATAATAATTATGCTGTAGCATATATTGAAATCGTAACTACAGTTCACTTAATAATTCACCTTCAGCATACATGTATTCAATAATTTAAACATTGTCAGTTATCAGCTACAATGACCTTTGAGTTTGTTATCCATGGTTTTTCCAGGTTTCTCATTCCAGGTATTACGTTGATTAATTAGATGTGTTCGTTGAGTATTTTTTCATAACTAAATTGTTGGTAAGAAAGCAATAAAAGGCAAAACAACTTATTTATATAACATTGCTTTAGTTTTACATCTGTAAGAAATTATATTGCTGATCACACTGTTATGTGACTAGAGATGTACGTGTTTCACACTATAAATTAATTTATATATATACTAAGAACGAAGTGAATAGATTAAACTGCAAACAAATACATGTTTTGCCTTCCGTTATCACCATTTGTTGTTGCAGGTAAGTAGCTTAATAAAAAAGATAGCGTTTTTAAGAAAACTTTTTAATTAACTTATTATTATCACTGGAACCTATGTCATGATTTTTTAAGCCTTGCCATCTTGCGTTGAAACTAATTCATTTCTATTTTTAGAAACTTTCCAGAAAATATTGAAATGTAGGATTATATAGGAAACGATCTATTGACTACACTTTATTAGTAATATTTATTCACTGTCACTTTTATCTATCTCCCTCTCTTCTTCATCATGTTTTGTGAATTTTCACATCTGCTCTCTGTGCTACTTGTTACATATGGGGAACAACATCATACCTTTCTGATAGGCTAGTAGAGTCGAAATATATCGAGTGCATATGATCACATACCGTCTCAAAGTCAGCCTACAGGAATCTTGTATACCTGAAGCCAAATTGTATAATCACAGGACGTAATGCTTCTATAAATTGTACTTTCATCTGTATATTAGGTTTGTAAAAATCTTATTCTTATACCGAATTGTTTGTCAAACCACACTGATGGATTATGGTGTATGTTGTGCAAAGAAGGAACATCTTTGTGACTCAAACTTTCTAGCCTTAACTTGTCAGGTTTTAAATATTCTCGTTGCTTTGATATGTGATCTGAAAAAGGATGAAGAAATATTCATCTTGAGGTTATTAATTCTGCCTTGTTGTGTTAACACTGTGACATCTTTAGTAACAGTAACCGCTTACTATTAGACTTAGTGAATATTCAAACATCACATGTATGGATTATTTTTTCTTTTTATTAATGTTACAACGACTTAGAAGTCGATAAGTTATTCTCTGGTGTTGTTAAATCAAACTAACTATTTAATACTCAATCGACTATGACTTTTTGATTGTTCAGTAAACTTAATTGTCAATGAGTTCGTAAAGTTGACAGTTAACTGAACAACGATTTATGAATTATTCTCAAACTTCTTATAGTTTTACTGTTTCTAAACATTTACTGATGTCATGTTAGTAAACTATTAAAGTTTGTTAATACTATAATTAATTAATGAACACTTTACTGAAGCATAATTTCAATACCAACTTATGTTTTGTGTTGTTGAATTGAAGCTTGAAATTCTTGAGTACCTAATTTTAATGTCAGTAGTAAATAATAATCAAAGTTGTTTTCCAATGTTCTCAGTTTACTTTGTAATAAATAAGTTGTGTTATTGTAAATTATGGGCCTGTTTGTGTAGTTATATTTTCTTCTCTAGAAGATCTATGTAAATATATCATTTCACTTATGCTAGATTGATATAAGATCCCTCGTTTTATTTATTAAAAAAATAGGATGAAATGTTTGGTTCTCGTGCTCAGTATCCAAATTGGAAACCTCATGGTTGTACTTATCGAGGTTGGGATATGCATTTACTCTTGAATATTGAAACTATTAAACAAGGTCAACCAGTCGTATCTTTAACTAATCCTGTGCCAATGATTGGAAATCAGGTTATGAAGAAATTATCATCATGTTCATCTAATGTATCCAGTAACAATTCACAATATTTTGAAAATCATGATTCTATAGCATTGTTAGCACATTCAAATGAACCTCTTAGTTCAATTAGGGAGAGGGCTAATATTTTGTCGACTGCATATTTATTTGGTTGTCAATCTAAATCAAATAATCAACAGGACACTGGTAAATCTTCATCATGGACAATGGCTACTTTATCTCTTCAGAAAGAAACACGACCAAAAATTTCCATTTTATGTGAGTCGAATCAACCGATCGAAAAGACTATACTCTCACATGATGCACCCAGTCAACGGAATGAAATGAGATCAGTTAGTAAACATAATTCCTATGAACTTCTAGATACTGTGTTAAATCGCAAACCTATTGGTGAACTTGGCTTTCAAGTAAGTCATATTTTTTGTTAGACTTTTGTACTGTTCGGCGCAACTATATTCCATTTTATTTGATTAAATATTTTGTGACGATGTAGCTAATTAAATACAATTTAAAGTTGTTTAAACTTTAGTTTTACTTATGAATAACTAACTGTTAATGTTTGAGTAGAAGCATATAATATTTATCATACTGCTGAAATGATTGTGAAATTGTTAATTTAAAACAGGTATGACTTGATGTTCAGTATTACCAATTAAAATACATAGACTTTGACTCCTCTGTCAGTCTTCTTTAAGTAGATGAAAGCTATTTCACTATTTTTACTTATATATTTATGTAGTTTATTTTTTAAATTTTCTTTTCTTAGATTAATCGTCAGTTGATTGTTCGATTTTATACAGAATCTAACAGTCGTGTACGTAATCGTGTTAGTAACATAAGTGCTGTTTCTTCTTCTGCTATTCAAGGTTTATCCAATAATTCACCTTATAATAGTTCATTTTCATTAGCTGGCTCATATTCATCCACATTAGAATTGACAAATGAATGTTTCAATAATTCTATATTGATTTCAAAAAATTATTGTTTATCAAATGATGAATCTTCTAGTTTTTTAAGTAATTTCCGTAAACGTCTAGAAACATCATCTACATTACAAGTAAATCATCTTATTACTAATGATACATCTGTACTCAGTCTTAGTAATAATAATAATAATAATAAAATTTTAACTGATTCATCAACAGATTTAAATAATTCTAATCAAACGATTCCTACAACTAATGTTAATATTATTCTACCTAGTGTTTGTTTATCAAATGATTCAGCAGTTTATGAACTATTATTTGAATTAGCTGAATCGGAACTTGCATATCTTAATTCATCATTCCTAATACAATCAAATAGTCGTAATAAAAAGTCCATTCATCATCTTCGTCATCAAATTTATCATTTGGTGAAACACAATTTCCTTCAACGTTTAGTTTTCTTCATCCTGTACGACTATTATTAGCATGTTTACCAACGTATAAATCAATTCGCCATGGACGAAATGGTAATGGTACATATTTACAATATAGTTTAGTATGTAATCCACATATGCTTCTTAATGCTTCACCTTATCGTGTTTTATATAAATTACAAGTGAGTATAGTTTTTTTAGTTGAGTCTTATATAATAATAATAATAATAATATTAACAATAATAATAGTCCTAATGATGTGTTGTACTTTCAGACACGTTGTTATTATATTTTTACTTAATTTCGCAATAAGAAGTGAAGCATTGAATCGTTTTAGCAGTTAAACATTTTTCTAACTATTATTCATCTAGCACCATGGATATCATCGCAGTCAGATTAATAGATTAGCCTAACAATCATTGATGTTTTCTGTTTATATTATTATAGCCTTGTAGTTTTACTAGCTTCTCCAACTACTTATATCAGAAGGGGATTCTGTGGATATTATAGTAATTTCAATAGTTGAGATTTTGAGTCAATTGAAGCTAGACCACTATGGAAAACCTGGAAGCACTAGACGTCCGTTTCGTCCTATTGTGGGACTTCTCGGCAGTGCGCATCCGCGATCCCGCCTCGCAAGATTCGAACTCAGGACCTGTTTAAAAATGTTTGTCTGCTTAAACGATTCAATACTTCACTTCTTATTGCGAAATCAAGTAAAAATGAAATAACAACGTGTCTGAAACTACATCATATCATTAAGACTCATAATCTTGACTGTTGAACTAACTGTTTATATCATTCTTTTTTCTGTATTTCTGCTTCATTGTTTACTCTTATAAATTTTCTCACTTTTATGTTATAAAGCTCGAAATTTGCACCTGATTTTCTCAAGTTCTTTCAACTGGACTATCAGTAACTCTCAAACCATACATTTTTGTGATGGTCAGTCAACTTCATTAAAGTGGAAAACAAAGATTCCATCACTTGGTTTCCTTGCAGTTTTAAGTGCTCGATATATATACCAGTTGGATAGATGTTTTCACAAATAACCACATGGAAGACTGAGAATAGAAAAACATATTTCAAGAATTTTGAATATCAAAATGTTTGTGATATAAAAAGAGAATAAATAACGATATAAAGAGGCTTGGAAGAAACGAAGTAGTTATGTGAAACATTAGTCACCACGTTCATACTAAGCCAATAGTTGATTGTTAAGAATAATTTTTTTATTTTTTATTTTCAGCTTTTGAGTTCTGCGTTGATTCCTTTGGACACAAGTCCATGGTGGGAAATCTCCCCAGGATGTTTACTCTCACCTCCGTCTTCAACTTACTTAATATCTCAACCTCTTCCGATGTCCATTATCTCAAGAACTCATAAAGGATTGGAATCTCTTTCAGTAGACAGTAATCCTAGATCAAATTCAGCTAGTAGAGGATCTCATTCTCGTACTTCACCTATAAATGGTGATTGTAAATCTAATTGGTTTCTGTCTGTTGATGCAATAAATACAAATTCACAAGTAATAAATTCAACTTCAGCACCATCTTCACCAGAAATTTCTCCACGTCGTCGTTGTCGTCTTAAAAAGCTAACTTCCTTCACACTTTCAAGTGATATTTTCTCTTTCAAGGGGAAGTCTCACAAAGATGGTAAGTTTTGACTTTATTTTTTAAATAGATAGATAGATGAAACCATTATTGATGGAGGAATGAGTTTTGTTTTACTTAAACTACAAAAGGTTATTGTTATTATTCAGATGCTGGACATGATTTCCAATTCCTTCCTAATTTCTTAATGAATTTTTTTATTCAACGAAAAAGTCCAGTTTTATGCCAGACTGTACTATAAAGGCGAAAATACGTATAATTAGCTGAATAGTTTAATTACGAAACTTTTAAAACAATTAGTCCCTTTGATAAATTTCGATATTGCAATGAGAAGACATCCCACTATGTCTATCAATTTACATGTATGTGTGGAAACACGTACATAAGGAGGAGCAATCGTGATCTGCAATTAAAGGTGGGTGAATACATACCAAAATGGCTGCGGATACAAATGAATTTCAATGGTCAATTAAGATCACGGGATAGACAGACATCTTCCTCCATTGCGAAACATTTGATTGAGACTAGTCATAAGGTTGACATCAAGTCAGTATTTGTAGTGTTGTACAAAAGCTTCCAAGGACGTATACTAATGTTTATTGAAGCCTTGGCTACACAGAAACTGAAACCTCCTTTATGCGTTCAAAAACAATTTGTCTTTACCCTTAACCTACCTTGGTAATACTGATTTATTATCCAGAGTGGTTATCACATTGTTTTTGTGTACTTTATTTTTTTCTTTTTACGGTTTACCTTTAACCTGTCTGGTTGACCTTTTAATTTTCAAATAAAAATGTCTTAACAAGTATACGTATGGTCAGATTGTTCGAAATGTATTGCGCAAATATATCACATAATTCTGATAAACTTTGTCTTCTCATTACGAAACTTTTGTTGTAATTCTGGATAACATCCTCAGAACAGGCTTACTTGTTACTGGTGGGGATGATTTCAATTCCCTCTAAAGTTGACGCTAATAATTTTGTCTGAAACGCAAAAGAAAGGTCTTAAAATCAAACCGTCCTGCGTAAATATAATAGGAAAAATTGAACTAGAACCTGTAAAGCACTGAATTCAAGTTGAGGTTAGAGCTAATAATGTCTCCAATGACTGAAAATTTTCAAGCTCAGTAAAAACAACATATTTAAAAAAACATTCACTTGAACCGTACACTTGTTGATTTCATTTAACAACTTCTAAATGATGGGTTAAAGATATGTACTCTGTAGTCGTAAGAGAACTACTAAAATTCCGAAATTCTGTCTTTATGAACAAATACAAACTGAAATTATAAGCAGAGATGAATGGTGGCTAGCATTAAAATCCAGGACACGCGTTCGTTTTATATGGGACTTGTTAGCTGGAAGTGCCAGCATCCCAGAGTTGATGTTCAAACAATTAACACAAAATGAATTAAATACAAACTGACTTAATCTCCTTCACTTAATTCTAACACCTACTTACTTATTTATGTCTGTTAGCCCTCGTCGTGGAGCATAGGCTGCCGACCAGAATATCCCAAACAAATTTGTCTTGGGCTCTCATTTACAGTTGTTTCCATTTTCTATTCAGATTTTTGATGTCTGCTTCCAATCTCCGGCGCAATGTTCTTTGGTTTTCTGCTTTTCTGTTTCCCTTCAGGATTACAAGTTAACGCCTACCTTATGATACAGTTTGATGATTTCCGCAACGTATGTCATATCCACTTCGTTTGTCTTTTCCCAATTTCCTCTTCAGATGAAAGCTGGTTTGTTCTCTCCACATTAGGTTGTTGTTGATTGTATCCGGTTAACTGACATTAAGTCTCATGAGTAGATAAATGTTTATAAGTACTTGCACTCTCTTGATAATAGTTTTGGTGGTTTTCCAAATTTCAGTTCCATACAGTAGAACTGTCTTGACGCTCATATTGAAGATTCTGACTTTGATATTGTTTGAAAGTTGTTTTGAGTTCCATATACTCTTCAACTGTAGGGATGCTGCCCTTGTTTTGCCAATCCTTGCCTTTACTTCTGCATCAGATCCTCCTTGTTCATCGATGATGCTGCTGACAGGCTACTTGAAAGTTTGCACCTATTCCAGAGCCTCTCCATCAAGTGTGATTGAGTTGGTATTCTCCGTGGTGTATTTAAGGACCTTGCTTTTATTCTTGTGTACGTTGAGGTCTACTGATGCAGAAGCTGCTGCTACACCGTCTTTGCCCACCTGTACTTGTTGGTGGGTATGGGATAGAAGAGCTAGGTCATCTGCAAAGTCCAAATAGTCTAGTTGCATGCAAGCTATCAATTGTATTCCATGCTTCCTTTCAGATGTGGAGGTTTTCTTAATCCAGTCAACCACCAGAAGAAAGAGAAAGAATCAGAGTAAGCAGCCTTGTCTGACACCATTCCTCACCTGGAATGCATCCGTTAATGTCCTCCATGAACGACTTTTCAGTGTAGTCCATCGTATAAATTCCGGATGATGTGGACGATCTCAGGTATACCATAATGTTTGGGAAGTTTCCATAATGTTCTCCTATTCACATTGTCAAGTGCCTTCTCATAGTCAATGAAGTTAATACGTAGTGACGAATCCCATTCAATTGATTGCTCAACGATGATCCGTAGTGTCGTGATTAGATCTGTACAAGACCGATCCTTACAGAATCCAGCCTGTTGGTCTCGAAGTTGGCCATCTACTGAGTCTTTCATCCGGTCCAGTAACATTCTGTTGAAAAATGTTTCTGTTACCGACAGTAGTGTAATGCCTCCGTAGTCCTCACATTTGCTCAGATCCCCTTTCTTCGGTATTTTGATTAGGTGTCTTTCCATTCTGTCGGCACTTGTTCATACTCCCAAATCTTCCTTAATAGAACGTGAAGCATGTTTGCAATTGCTTTCATGTTTAATTTCAATGCTTCAGCTTACATACTTTTTCTCACTCTTGATTCGTCTGATTGCCATCCTGACTTCTTCGACGTTGATGGAGTGACACCCTCTCCCTTTACCCAGCATTGTGACCGGCAATAACCCTAGGGGAACTACGGGCGGAGTTGGTTCTAATTTATGTTACTTAGTAAAATTTCGGTGGCATATAGATATTTGTCAGTAAAGAACTATTATTGGCATTCTCGTATATTTCAAAACAGAAATAATCTAAATCATCACACGATTAAAAAATTAATGTGTGATTTATGACTTCTTTTTTCTCCTTCTGTGTATCCATAGTTTACTGGATAATTTGCCTATTATAGTAATCTTTGATTCGCTTAAGCAATTGATTTAGTTATTAAAAAGTCAAACTCGTCCGTTTAATTAATAATAAGCAGCTTTTTATTTTGAGATGGTGGAGAATTTTGTGCTAATGATGTCGTTCAGAAGAATGATGAAAGCTCCACGACCAAACCATCCAGCTCAGAGAACAAAACTTCACCAAAAAGCTTTTTGTTTGCTCATCAGTATGAAAAAAAGACTTGTTGATCTTGTAATCACACATACAAGTTAAACAACATATCTATTTATTCACATATTTATAATTTGAATAATTTACTCATATTTATTTGAATATTTATTTATATTGTTGGTTCTCACTCTTTAGTGCCAAAAGATTTAAATCTAGTAGCTGACGCTCCACTTATTGAATATCTTGAAGCATTAGTTCAATTACTCGAGCGAAATTTAGTTCCCTTATCTGTCGAATCACCTTATAAGTCTACGAATTCCGTCAAAAAGCATATTTCTGCATTCCCATTTGTATTGCGACCCAATCATATTCGTCGTCAATGCATTACTAATGAACATGAATATTTAGCATCTAATATTTCACAGAATACAGCTAAAGATAATGCTAATTGGTGGAGGCGTGAAGTGAGACATTTGTGCTTACAGTTGCTAGCTTCTTTGTTAAATCCAATTACTTTAGTGAATAATGATGAATTCACAACAACTGGTAAGTGTTAGTATTTCTTTCATTGGTTGATATCAGCGAGAGATTACTTTATATATAAGGCATTCAACTTTTAACCATTCTCTAACTTGGCTTCACATAATTTCAATTTGTATACTGGGTTTTATTTCTGGCTCTCGCATGCATTAATCAGTAGATAATTACACAGTAATTTACCTATTTGTTAACGTTTCCGTTAGTCAGAACTGTCGTTAATACGAATTAAACTAAATTCACTGCTTTACATAGCATGTTTTGTTTAGTAAAGATAGGCGTAAGATGAAACAATTGTGTCATCAATCTCAATGTTAAGCAAATAATAATCGATATATGTAGTGGAGCAATCAAGGAAGTAATGAATCTCCTTCAACTGAATGTATTAGGATATATGTCACAGATGCTCATTAATCTGCTTTCTAGCCGCATAACGTGCTTTCAGGTTTTCAGTGGTGGCCTAAAATTGTTCGGTTCATGATCTCAATAAAAAGTAAACTCAATAGCATTTATAAAATCAAACGAATTCACTCTTTTTCATGGGTCTTTACCAACTATAAACTGCCTAAAAATTAATGAGTAGTTATGCAAGTAGTAAATAAAAGATTTGATATACTTTAATCAGTGAATTCGAAATCGATGTTAGAAATGTAACTGAAAATTACAATTAAAAAATAAGATACGCAAAATCTTATTGACGTCTAACATATTAATTTGATGATAAGAAGCATCGAATAAGAATTATTCATTTTATTCTGTAAATTTTGTTCTTCATATCCTATTTAAATTTATTACGAAATAAATTTACTGAGAATTTATAGTTGTTGATAGTGTCCTAAATAATTTTTGGTTGAGATCATGAATCAATTGATGTTAGACCACCGTTGGAAACCTGGAAGCACTGGACGGCCGTTTCGTCCTAGTATGGGACTCCTCAGCAGTGCGCATCCACGATCCCGCGGGATCGTGAGGTGGTCGACAGGAAACCATGGGCCTAGGATTCACGCTACTTGGCACTCATCAGCAACATATACCCGTAATCTTGAGGACACTGATGTTCCCTGACAATTTTGATCTCGTGTCAACCAGATTCACATTCAGAGACATTACCACTGAGCTAATCAAGGGCTATCAGTTCCCTCAAGTTTACGCGTACACACTGCTGTCGAGTGCCACATAGAACAAAATCTAGGTCAAAGGTTTCCTGTCCACTAAATCTAGCCAACACAGTGCACGCGCTGTCGAGTTACCTAGGCTAGTGGTCACATTACAACTTGGTCGATAGAATTCGACCTGCGATAAGAAGGACCTGACACAAATTTCATTGGTCAAACCACGATCCCGAGGGATCGTGGATGCGCACTGCTGAGAGTCCCATACTAGGACGAAACGGCCGTCCAGTGCTTCCAGGTTTCCAAAGGTGGTCTAACATCAATTGATTCATGATCTCAACCAAAAATTAACAATCTCCACAACCCCCATACTGATAATTCCTAAATAATTGTTGCTCTTCACCGACACGTAATTGTACCCTGAGAAAAAAAAAACCATAATTTTTTTTACAAAACATGGAAAGCGGCAATACAGCTAAACATGTTATTTAATGTTCTTTACTAGTGTCTCTAAAAAGTAATTAGTTTGATTGTAGTATCGGCGGTCTTACTGCTTATGCTTGGAAATGGGAATCATTTGAATTTCCACTACGCTAAGAGAAAATATAAAGAAAGATACAATTGAAGATTTATTGACTCTCCAAAATGTGATGTTGAAACAGATAGAATAATTTATATATTGGTTTTGCACACAATTGATGACTAGTTAATAAACATCATATAAGTATAAAGATACATGGGATAACTGTAAAACATGTACAAAGTTCACACAGAATAATACAATGAATGTAACTGTCACACTGGACGGAAGTTCATACTTGTCAAAGTGAACAAAATTCACATTCAATTATTACAAAATATATTAATCTAAAACAACGATACACTGAAAAACAGAACTAGAATATCGTGCTGACTAAATATTACACTTCTAATAAAATCATTGTCACACTGAAAATGGACTAATATTATATTCAATAAAATGTTTCGTTAAGAATAAATACAATGTCAAACTGTTACATTGTAAATAGAAATTATCATGAAATATCACCCTAATTTAGCGAAAAAAAAGCTGAAATTGCCCTTTTGTCCCAACTTATCACTATCTAACTAAACTTCTAAACTTTTCACTAAAGATTGGATGTAAATATTCCTTTAAAAACAATTCTAAGTGTCATTACATAAGTATTATTTTATTCTTTCAATATTGTTCACTACTAATTTATCTGTTGTTTTCTTTTTAGTTCATAAGTCGTACAATCAAAATATAATGTCTGAATCAATCTATACTATACCATCTGATTCAGTTGTATATCAAATAACTCCTATATTAGCATATAATCTATTGAATAATTTATTAGATACTGCATTAATCGATGCTGGTATCGACATTGAATTACTTCATTCTAATAATTCATTTACAAAACAACACTCACAAGAATTACTCAATAATTTTTACTATTCATCTATGCCTAAATCGTACATGTTTTTATCACATGTTGATAGTAAATCAGGTATTGCTGGTGTAATTGAAGAAATCTCTTATTTTGGACGAAAAATTCTATTTCAAGATGTTGAAGTAAGTTAATCATATACTATACATACATATGTATATTAGATAAATTTATCTTTTAACAAGCTCATTTTAACTGCTTTCATATTTTTCTTCGTTTCTTTTTATATCAATCTTGTTTTTCTATTTTACTTTAGATCAGTGTACAGTGTATACGATTATATTTTCAATGTATCATAGCCTATCCATGTATATTTGTTGATGCTTTATTGAAGTCAACGAATTTGGAGAATAAGTTTATACAACTGTTAGTGTACTCCTCATCTACAAGGTAATTTAAAAGAGAGAAATTCAACTTACTGTTAATTTGTGGAGTTTTTTTTATAATATTTAAGGCGAAAAGCTTTTCATATAACTTTACTGTACAACTTTTGGAATGACTGTTAAAATTGGACAATTATGTAGTTTTAAACTATTAAGATTGGCGTTTTTCATTTTAATTTTTCAGATAATAACAGTTTGTAAACGCTGGTCAATAAAGTGTTCTATTAAGCATGGAATGACATCATTTTTCTATTTGACCCCTTAAACTTAACAGTCTGTTGTCATTTTATTTCTCGCTCGAATCTTGGTTCATTCTGCCTTCAAATTATTTAGTTACTTCTAACCATTTGTTATTTCTTTTTATCAGTCAAGCGAACTCAAGACAATATCAAGTTTACTATTTTTGTATATTGAGCTTTTGATACTTTGGTTGATTAGTAAGAATATGCATATAAAATGGAGCACTATGCGTATATATGGACGTGGATATGATCATTTCTTTACTATTTTAATTTGTTTTAGAATAAGAAATGAAATGGCTCGTCAACTGGAACAGTTGTTCATTCTTGTATCACCTTTCCTTTTCACTGGTCCTACTTGCTATACCAGAAATAATTCATTATCTGTTTCGCATACATCTCACTCTTCGATTTGTTCACTTCACGGTTATATTCGTCATCCTGAAATACTGAATCTGATTCTTAAAACCATACTCAATACACGGTTACCATTTTTTGATGTGAAACTAGACATTATGTCACTACCGGCAGTAAATATTTTAATTAGCCAATGTGCAGAATATTTTCGTGTACGTGGCTTTTTACTCGGTCAAACACCTCCTCAAATTCTTAAAACAAATTTCAATACTGATCATATCACTATTCTTCAAGTAAGCTTTACTTAATTTATTGTGGGCTACGTTTTTTTACACAAGTAATTGCCATGATGAAACATTGATTTCGTATGTAAATTTAAAGAAACATTGTACAGTTGTTGAACAATTGGCTTCTGTAGTGTAAATTGATTTATGATAGAGTTGCATGGTAGTGAAACTGACAGCTTAGTTGTTTATCATCCATATGTTTTTACACATGCTTCTTTCCAAAAAGACATTTTGTAAGGCACTAGAGGTAATAATGTTTAGTGTACAAAATGTCTATTCTAATCCTAAACAGTTATTAATATAATTTTATGTGAACATTAAATAAACAGATACATTACCTGATATATCTACTTTACCTAACTAACTGTGGGTTAAAACTTGTTGGGTGGACACAAAATGTTTAAAAAACACCTCGGTAACAATACAGACTAATTTACAATTGATTAATCCCTTGGTTTGACCAATGAAATTTATGTCAGGTCCTTCTTATCGCAGGTCGAATTCTATCGACCAAGTTGTAATGTGACCACTAGCCTAGGTAACTCGACAGCGCGTGCACTGTGTTGGCTAGATTTAGTGGACAGGAAACCTTTGACCTAGATTTTGTTCTATGTGGCACTCGACAGCAGTGTGTACGCGTAAACTTGAGGGAACTGATAGCCCTTGATTAGCTCAGTGGTAATGTCTCTGAATGTGAATCTGGTTGACACGAGATCAAAATTGTCAGGGAACATCAGTGTCCTCAAGATTACGGGTATATGTTGCTGATGAGTGCCAAGTAGCGTGAATCCTAGGCCCATGGTTTCCTGTCGACCACCTCACGTCTAAATATAGACTAGTAACATATTCAACTTATACACTTTACATGCGTTAAAAAAATTCAATGAAATTTTCTGTGATTAAGGTGGTTCTTACAGAGGCAATATTTATCACAATTGCATGAAAGCGTGTGGTGATTTCGACCTTTCAAACCGTTTGTTTCAACCTTATTTTGGAAATGACGGAATTTAGTCATATTTAGTTAGACGTGTCTTGAATAAAAATTGAAAAATTATTTGCGACCATAGGAGAAATCACCGTACTTAATTCAAGGTGTTTATAAATAAAATCATTTGTAATATGTAACTGGAGTCAATTTTAATTAGCTTGTAATTTGCACGAAGCAACTATCCGTTATTAAAATGACAATATAGGAGGTGCGTAATTGTTCCTTGTGAATTTGATATTTTTTCCCCACATATTTTGAACTGTGATCAATTCAATTCGTGAAAGATGCTAACCGTTTAACTAATACTGTTCATATGTTTTGTCGTAATAACTGAAGAATTGAAGGCCAGTATGTTTGCACAGTAGTATAATGAATGAAGACGGTTTATTGTTCGAAACGTAAGGAATACCAGATTTTTGTCTCTATTAGTTGGTCAATATTGGATTGTGTAAATAAATCTAGTAGTTAGAATTGTAAAAAATCTAGTTTTGTAAACTTTTTTAAAAAATTTTTTCAATAAATTGTTATCATTTTGTAAGTAATGTGACTTTTTTTTCTTTCGAATACTTACTTTCTTCGTACAATACACTTTTTTTGTAGAATGATTTACTATGGTTTAAAAAAACGATGGATTTTGATGATAAAAATATGCAATACTATGAAAATCAAATACTCAATGATTGTCTACTAGCTGGTCATTTGAATTCAATTCGTTTAATTTGTGCTCAATCAATAGCATGTGTCACTAGTCATTGTCAATGTACATTGAATCATCATTTATTATCCAATGGGGGGTTAACACCAATTATAGATAAACCAGCATCTAAAATAAATAACCGTAGTAATAATAATAATATTAGTAAATTGAATTATTTAAAAAATGGATTTATTACTAACATTAATCATTTATTACCACCGATACAGTTATTAAAAGCAATGAAAAATCCAGATATACTTGTAATTAATATGAAAAATGAAGAAACTAATTCACAGACAATGTTAAATAAAGAATTTACAGAAAACAGAATACCTATTCACTCTTCTGTTGCGTTAAAATTAGCAGTTGATTGTATACAAATAACAAGAGATTTTATTTATTATCTTATTGTAGAATGTTTATTCCCAGCAGCTAGATATTTACTTTCAGATCAGAATGCTAAAGATTTATCACTGTACGCTCCATCAAATGGACAATTTTCTAAACGTGAATGTTTACGAAGAAGTTTATCAATTTTATTTAAAAACCGTAACCTTCCACAATTTGATATTTTTAAAAGCCTCCGACCTATGACTAAAGAAGTATCATTGTCATTTTTGTGTTTTGTATGTCGCATAGATTGTCAAAGTTTAGAAAAGGTAATTACTGCTTTGATTCTTCTCAAATAGTTATTTTCTTTATCAGTATATAGGGTGCTTATATAATCTTATTTGTTAGATTGTAAAAAAATAAACCGCTAACTTGGGACACAATGTATACTACTGAAAGCATTATAACTAAATGCAATCATGCGATACCTCGTCTTCGATGAAAAGAGCTTGCTGTTTAGTCTTTCAAAATATATGCAGAGTGTATCCAAGTGACATGACCGATAATTGTAGATAAGGAATATCTCTGTTTAATCAATAGGTATCATTAGTATGTTGGAAAAGTTAGTATTTTGGGCGAATTATTTTATATTCAATAAGTCCTGTTTTTTTTTTAAATCAAGGAACTTATTTTTATTAAAGTCCACTAGGTTCATTGTAAAAATATTATAAGAGTGAAGTGTTTCATTTAGTATAGGTGGCCATTGTCACGCAAACTCACTAATTTTGAGTAGGTACTTTGACAAAAATTACTGCTGTTTAGAAAATTGGCTGTAAACTATCTAATAATGATTTTATATACATTCTATTTAAAATAACTTGAGAATCAAAATAACCGTTTGCTTTTGTTTTGTCCGCATCGATAAGTAATTTCTCTCTGCTTAGTTCTTTTATTACGTAACTATGATGATGAAAAATTATTTCGTTCTCTTACCGCAGCGAAATAATCACTTGAATTTGATGATAACTACGGCTTGACCATAAAACTATCTAGGTTCTATGAAATGAACGCATATTCAACCAATTTATCACTAGAAAATCTTTTACTATGAGAACTACTGGCTATTTAAACACACCAAATAATCAAAAGTTATAAACACGACCGAAATCTTATGTTTACTATAGAATATGCCGACAAACTGTTTTACAATAGATCACTTGGTTTTTTTATTTTCAAAAATTTATGACAGTTTGTGATTTTTACTTAACTCCTTGGTGCTCAATATTTTCTTTTTCAAGAATTTAATTTCTCTTTTTCATTTTTACTAGGTTGTTAATCTACTAATTTTATTACACCATTCACATAAATCAGATCAGATTAGTTCTGAAATTGGTACACATACTTCGATATTGCCTAATTCAATTCAAACATCATCTGAAATTGTACTTGATCATAGTTCATTTAAATCTACTACAGAAGAATTGCTTCATAAACAACATAAAGTTAATACAATACCAAATATAATAGGAAAAGTAAGTTGATAATAGTATGAAGTCCGCTATTCTTATTGATATTAAGGACTGATTTTTGATTAATGATTATTTGCTATTGTATATCCAATGTGCACCACATTTATATAATCAAATATTAATCATTCTTCCGTAGTAACAATGGATCATTCAAACACTTACTTATAATGATATTAACAACATACACAGTAATTAACCTAGTCTATATTCAGAGCGAAAGATACTAGCTTCGACTTGTGGAGTGAACATTTGGATTGAAATTCAGGCCCACTCAGCTGAGTTCAAAATTAGTCAAAACGCTTGTCCTGGATTATACTACTAGCTAAAATCTATCTTTTGCATAAATTTTTAATTGTTTTAAACAGTCGTTTTACTTAATTCATAGATAAGTTAACCGAATGAGTCATAAATAAATGTCAAGTGTCCATCGACACATAAGCCATGAGATGAGTACTTCAGAGAATAGTTTTCATTTCAGTGATTGCCCTTGCAGAATTGCACAATTCCACTTATATGTAGAATTACAATAATAATTTTTAATGTGTTTATTTATACATCAGAATAATTTATTGAATACAGTAACTAAAAATAACCAACCAAATAAATATACAATAATGTGTCACTCTTATTGAATTTTTCATCATGAAATAGAAATTTGAAAAGCTTATCCAAGGATATTACAAAAGTTAAATATCAAATAATAATTATAAATATGGATTGGAGTTCAATATTGCATAGGTTTATTATTTTTATTTATTTGTCAATGTTTACTGGTTGAAGCATTTGTTGCGTATGGATCTTATAAGGCAATGAAAATTGTAAAATAGGATACCAGGTTATGTATTAATTACTACTGAACTTGTGAATTTCCGTTTTGTTGATTGATGGATTATTTGTGAAAATTGTTGTATCCTAGTAAAGATTAAATTACAGGTAACTTCCGAGGACTATTAATAGACTAATATTCTATGAATATTATTATTGTATAATTATTCAATAATTATATTATGTATATTTATATTCCCCTTATTATAAGCTTCATTTTGATCTATAGTTTATTATTATACGACGTACTGTCCCTAAATTATGCTCAGTTTATTAACTACCGCCTCCCACATTCACAGCCACTTTTTGGCTTTATTGTGTACAAATATTATTTCCTACCTTATGGTGCGTTGCGATCTGTTTGTTTGATATACAAGCACAGTCGGTTTGAAATATATGATTCATATTGCAGAAGCTGATATTGTGTTCTGGACTCAAGTGGACGGGCTAGGAGGACATAAGACCAATAAAGTCGCTAAACTGCTCATACCGCTTGAACGTCATTGGTTTGGCATAGTGTTAAGATTGTATAAGTCGTATTTTGATTGGTGGATAAATCATGTGATAAAAAGCCGGACATAAAATCATAACAAAAATAAATTTATAGAACCTTTATTTCTGTCATAAAATCTTTCTGTTAGTGCTTTAATATTATCTCTTGTTAATAGGGGGATCTGAAATCAAAGATTTATGCATTTCATTGCTTATTCGAATGACGATGTTATGTCTTGTCAAATTTCTTTGCTAACCATCATCAATTTATTGATTTACACAAGTCTGTATTAATTTTGATTTTTCTTCAAATATATTTCTCTTCATAGAATTTTAATAGTTTAATATTCTTAATTTATATACACATATTATTATAGGCTGGTGTTCATTGGGATGTTCAACCTGTTGTAGCTGGACGAGCAAAATGTGGATTTGTTGGTTTACGTAATGGTGGTGCAACATGTTATATGAATTCAGTTCTACAACAATTATTTATGCAACCGGGTGTACCGGAAACATTATTAGCTATTACAGATACTGATGATACCGATGAGAAAAATATTCTGTTCCAAACTCAACAAGTCAGTTTAAAATGTAGAGTATTAAAAAAACACAATTTCTTCGTTTATATTGATTGTTTGAATCTTCCCATTAATATTTGAGACTGTAATTGATTAGTCTCGATAACATCATTTAGTCACAAATATTTTAATCAAAGGTGGATGGTAGCTAGCAATGGAGCCCAGGACGAACTGTCAGCTGGATGTATCTGCAATTTCATTATTTACTGTTTATTGTTTTAATATTTCATTTAGAGTGAAAACAACTTTATGCTAAAGTAATCCCATCATTAATATATAATAACGTTCTATCCAAAATAGTTAGGATAAGTCATTGTACATAAATTGTAAGATGATCTGCTAAAGATTGATTTCAATTATGAAATAACAGATAACAATTTTTTATCTCTGAATACTTGTGGTTATATGGAGTAGAGCTATTGTACATAGAGTTATTTAAAATTGTTAGTATCTTAATCCCCTTCATTTTTTAAAGATCATTTAATGTAGTATTACACCATGCTAAGATTTCTAGACATATATATCAACATTGAAACCTCACAGTGCAAATGTACATTACTTTACACACTATAATTGTAATATTTATAGCATAAAAAGTACATGATAAATTTATTAATCAGAAAGGGAAGATGAAATTTTATATTTTTCAAGGAAAGTTTTGTGCAAAGAAGAAGTAGTGATTAGAATTCTCAAGATATTTGTGTCGATGGTGAAAAATTGATATATAGTCAATGTATTTGTTTTGTTGTAAATAATCACTGTGAAAAATGTAATTAAATACAGTGATTATACTCTTAATACCAATAGGATATTTTATTTACTGGATTTGTATGTAGGTATAGGTTAGTTATTTCTGAATTAACAGCCATTATCATTTTTAGCATGGCAATAATTTGTTTTATATTACTTGTCTAAACAATATTATAAGTTACTAACTGAATTTATAGGAAAAAAATAGAGGAAGATGTTTGGGTAAATACTTACGGAAGTAAAAATTTCAGTCCATCCAATCAACATATTCAATTCATACTTCATGTCGATGAAATTAAAAGCGAACATTATTATTACACTAATGATTTGTTTTAGAAGACGATTCTTCACTTACAATCTGTGTTTAATTCTTTTTAAAGTTTAACTTGAAACAAACTTTGTTTTTGTTTCCTAATTTCAACGGTGATGTGAATATTAAAAGGGAAGAATGTATTTGTAAAATCTCAGAGAAAGAATTTGAAGTAAATTTTCCTTGAAAAATCTTGGACCAGATTGCTAGGCAAAACCTTGGATTTACTTTAAATTCTTTCGCTGAGATTTTACAAATACATTCTTCCTTTTTAATGTCTCACATTAACTCGGCGCTAAAATATTGTGAACCTATTCATTTAAATTTAGACGAAAGTTCTTATTGGTGGTGTGAATAATTAGTCGATCATTACATGTACCTTTTTAAAAGTTATTTTCAGTTGAAAAATAATTCATAATATGATATGATTGTAAATATCATTATTAATGTTTTAGTTGATAATTTTAAATAAATTAACTATTGAGTAGGTTGTTAATTACCAATAACACTAAGCTTACAACAGAAAAAGTTAGTTATATTCTTATGGAGATGACACGTAAATCAACTGTGAAGATATTTATCTAATTTGTACTGATATAATGCTGAGTTATATTTTATCATCACTCTGTCAATTCAGTAATTAACTTCTTTACGAATCTACGGTCTTTTTTATTGTTTCTGTTATTGAACGAACTGTAAACTCAAAAGCTAATGATTGTTTTTTTCAAAAGAATATATATTTAAATAACACAAATTAAACACTAATTTACTCTATTTGAACACTATCGTAAAATCGTTTTTGTAAATTATTAACTTAATCATGAAATACGTTAAATAATAGTGTACCGAACAAGAACACGAGTGAGGACAATCGAATGTATTTGACATGAAATTACAGAGCATCTCACTAAAATTTGAGAACCATATAGTAAAGAGTTATTTTGCAAATATCAGTCCATTGTCTCAAATTTCATTGTTCATGGATTTTCATACCATTGCGTTCCGTTCCATTCCCGTTTTTTCTTTATAGATCTTCTACTGAAATGCATTCTATGTCTGACTGCAGTTATATACTACTTATGTGGATATAAGTTACCCATACCACAATAGTATATCTGGAAGTTATAACGTTATCACTAAACAATTTAACGCAATCATTGTTTATCAGATTGTTAAAATTTATGGTGTAACATTAAAATTTGTTTAACGTTAAGACTAAATTTACTTTATTCGTTAAGTAAACAAACATCAGTTAAATATTGAGGTGGTTTTTTTTCGTTTATTTTTTCATGAATACACATAACTTCGATTTATAGTCCTAAGAAAAATTTTTAAATAATGCTAAATAAATTTTAAGAATTTATTTCAAAGTTAGTTGACATTGTTTAAATGAAGAACTTATCATATTGAAAAGTTACGTCACGAAACACTTCTATTTGCCGACATCAAATCATCAAGTAATTTGAACATTAAGAGAGGAATTTCCAACATTCGTGCATTTTGAAATCCACCGCTCATGTTAATGTATCGCATGTTAACAAGTAATTACGTATATACTTGTATGTATATACTCAGGCCGATATTATAAAATGTATTTCATCTCTACCCTAAGATTCTAAATACAAGATATGACTGGACAATTTGTTCATTTTTGATTACTACACCTCTTTCTTCAAATGATATTATTTTCATCTTTATTTATTATTAATGTGGTCGGAATTATATATCGGAGGTGAATATACTGGAAAATGGTTGTGCAGCATCGCTAGTTGATGGGAGTTAACAATCTGTGGGATTATAAGTGTGTACTGTCAAGAAGTCGCAAACTAGTACGAAATAATCGTCTAGTGCTTCATAGTTTTCAATAGTTATCTAAGAGTCAATTCGTGATGTAAACATGAAGATTCAACAATCTCTACAAACCTCTCAAACTGATATAACTTCCAATTTTTTTAAGCAGAGATGGATGGTAACTAGTAGTGTAATTCAGAGTGAGCGTTTCGTCCGATTAGGGAAGCATCAACTGGATGCTTCTGAATCCCAGAGTTGGTGGTAACTCCCGGACTTCAACGTAGTACCGTTCGTCCCAAACATATCCACTTACATCCCAAAAGAGACTGATCAACTGTAGTCCTAAACATCAGTGGAAAAATTGGGACAACCACTATATATATATATATATATATATATATATATATATCGACCGACATAAGTAGTATGTATCGGCAGTTGAAAGTAGAACGGCTGGGAGCAGAAGCTTGAGAAAATCGTAGCGAAGAGAATGATAACAGAGAGGTATTGGTATGGAAACGAAGGAACGATAAAGTATAAGACAATTAATGGATATTTCGCAAATGAAGTATTTACTATATGGTTCTTAGATTTTACCATTATATTCTCTAATGTTCTGTAATGCACTTGGTTGTCCCACTTGTGTTCTCTTTCACTACAAATATCAATTGTTTTGTTGTCAGTTTATTGTTCTTTCGTTTCTCAACTTCTAGTTATTTGGTCACTTACTTGAATCTCAAATACAATATTATGACCCAGTTGGGTTTTGGAAAAGTTTTCGACCATGGTCAACCGACGTTGAAGTGAATCCATATGAACAACAAGATGCGTTTGACTTCTTTCAAGCTTTAATTGACCATTAGATGATGAATTAAAAGTAATTATCTTTTAAATATTTCCTTATTACTATTATAACTGGTTTTTATTTATCTTGTTCAAAATGTTTTAATTTTCGCTCTGTTAGTTTACATAAAACGAGTTTTGTTAACTTTCGTCAGACAGTCGAACTAATTCTGTTTAGTGATGAGTTATTTAATTTATCCATTCCTCGCTCTTAGTACATGTGTGTGTAAATCAACAAAACCTTAATATCCTTTTCTCTACTGTTAATGCCTTTACTATGGTTAACTCATATGTGTTCGCAGTAGTTCCAAGTCTTCACACACTGACTGACTCGTAGGTTTTAGATTGAGTTTTTGAAGTATTTAGGGTTTCTACCATTTTCTTGGTTTCTAATGTTTTTGTAGACACTTTAACACACTAGATATGAGACTGACCATTACTGAGTTTCAAGTCAGTCAGTCAGTCAGCTACAACGTAGGACCAGGCACATATATGCATCGGTCCAAGTTGCCATACCTCACTAACACAACAAGATCGACACCGGATTCATAAAACTAGTTAATTCAGTGGTGATAATAAATAAAAGAAAGATTGCAATAAGGATATAGTACAGGAAGAAAGAATTAGTTCGTAGAAAGAAAGATATGAAGCGATTTTAATCTCTTAGTTTAAGGGAAGACAGGGAGCGTATACACCGACGCCATTGTGATCGATTCTGAGCCATGTCACCAAGAGTCTCCAACCATTCGTTACGATAGTCACGCGGACCACAACCAAGTAGTCTGCATCTACCAACATGGCTCAGACTAGAAGTTAGTGACTTCAAGCACTGATGCCACGTTTTGGTTTGGCCGCCTCTAACTTTCTTCCAACCATCCCGGACACTGGTTAGCATTGCACGTCGTGGTAATCGGTGTTCAGTATACTCGTCCTTTTATTGATAGACGGATATCTCGCCTTCGCCATAGGTGATGTAAGTTGGCAAAAGCCAAGCGAGCTTTTCGAATCCGTGCTGAGATTTCGTCAGACACCAACCCATTAGGGCTGATCAGACTTCCAAGATAAGTGAAGTTGTCAACGCGTTCGACTACTTCACTCCCTATCCTTAGTTCAGGTGTTGACGCAGACCAGTCCTGAAGCAACAACTTGCATTTAGAGGGAGAGAAGCGCATTCCAAACATTCTGGCATTGTTGCTTAGTGCTACCAGAAGACTGCATTTTATCAGCGTCTTCACCAAACAGGACTATGTCATCTGCGTATTCTAAGTCGATAAGTGGACCTCCTGGAAGGAGATCAATACCCGAGAATTCAGTAGATGAGAATGTTATTTCCATCAATAGGTCTATGATGAAGTTAAACAAAATGGAGAAAGTGGACAGCCTTGACGGACACCACTTGAGGTTGCAAAATCAGATGACAGTTCGCCATAAGCTCTGACTCGACTAGTAGTGTTCGAGTAAAGAGCCTTCACAAGGTTTATGTACTTCTGAGGTACGCCTTTCAATGACAGACACTGCCACAGAATCTCGCGGTCTACAGAGTCAAATGCTGCTTTTAAGTCAAGAAAGACCACCATTGTCGGACGCCGATAAGTATGCCTGTGTTCTAGAACCTGACGAATGGTGAATATGTGGTCGATGCAGCCACGACCAGGTCTGAAGCCAGCTCGATTTTCTCGTGTTTGCAGTTCACGAGTCTTAGTTAAGTGTCTGATAATTATCGAGGCTAGTATTTTAGATACTATATTAGTTGAACTAATCCCTCTATGGTTGTCACAGGATGATTTTGACCCTCTCTTATATATTGGGACGATAAGTGATTGTGACCAGTCAGATGGAAGAACGTCTAACTCCCAGATTTTAGCTAAAATATTAGTCAACCTAATCGCTAAAATTGGACCACCATCCTTAAAGACCTCTGGAGCCAATCCATCTGGAGCAGCTGCCCTTCCTCGTTTCAGATTAACTATAGCCTTTTGAACTTCTGCCAGAGTTGGAGGACCTACTTCAATGTTCCATTCACACTGTCTGGAAATGGAGGCTACCCTCCAGAGTAGCTGAAGGCCAGCTGAAATGTTCCTCCCATCGTTCTAAACGTCTGGACTGAGAGCAGATGAGGGTGTCGTCTTTTTCCGAAATAGTCTGACTTACACTTGACTTATTAATCCCAGTTTCTTTTATTAGTCTGTAGAGCTGTCATGTGTTCCCTATAGCCACCGCCTTTTCCATCTCTTTTGCTTTCGTTGCTATTGTAACGTGTGACTTGCACGGTTTTGATAAGCAGCGTTTTATCGATCGATCACAGTAACACGGAAAACACGTATGGACGACCTAGTGCCCTGATTGGCCCTGCTTCGCTGTCTAACCCAGCCAGTTGAGTCCAGAACGCAAGTCACAGCCTCTGAGTTATGATCATTGTATTTCAGACATACTCTATTTATATACTAACCAAACAAACCACATCGTACCATAAAATAGAAAAAAACATTTACACAATATGTAACGAATGAATTAAATAATAGCCAATAGGGGATGCACATTTAAAGTCCAAGGCCACCATAGACTTAACATGACAATGATTGGCACATTATTCTGCATCCATAACAGTTGCCCACCACTGCTCACGGTCGTTCCTTAGACTTTTGCTTAACCTACATCTGATTTGTTTTCGCTCTTCATCGTGTTCAGAGCCTGATGGGATGAGTTTACGAGAATCCATCAGTGCAATAGACCTTGAAGAAATCCATTGGTTCTTTGTATCTCTGTGGTTCAAATCACTGATAGATGTCATTGTTGTTTCCACAGCTGTTTGTATATCTTTCAAAGCAACATATTGATCAGCCTCGTTTTCAGAACTACCTAAGTGTGACCTCAGTTGTTCCTTTAACCTACTTTCGTTTTTCTCGTTACTCAATTCAGTTTTAATGGGTCTTTTTAGTGTGGCTTTTTTGCGTCCAGTGAGGCGCAAGCAGATGCGTGCTCGTATCAGAGCATAGTCGGAGTTCAAGCAGGTACTCCAGAATGAGCGACAATCTTGTACCGACCCTCTCCAACGATGACTGATGGCAATATGGTCTATTTGAGTCCATCGTTGGTTTGGTGTAGGGGGTCGCCATGTTAGACGATGTCTTTCCTTATGCTTAAAATTTGTGTTTGCTAAAAATAAACGATTGTCTGAGCACAGTTGCATTAGACGATCACCATTATCTGTTCGCCGAACAGCACATAGACGACTGTTAACGGGGATCCACTCTAACAGTGTTTGTTCCACCCTCTAACAGCACTGAGTTTCAAACCCAAATGTCATTCAGTACATGAAATCACTGTTACAATTACTTCCTAATTTTGTGAACTTAATAAAGGTCAACTAGTCAGTTATAGTATAAGAATAAATATCATTTTATGATAAGTAATAAATTATATGAATTCAAGTTCAAACAAAATATTCAATGCACGTTTTTAAGTTCAACTAACAAAAATTTTACACATACACAACAAATCTTTGTTTAGTAAGATTAATGAACTATAAGCCTGTTAGCTAAATAGAATGTCATAGACAATAGACAATTATAACAAAAACTATTGTAAAACGTATGCGAACTTCGTTTATAAAAGAACACAACAATACTTACATCTCATAGTATATTCTCTATGCTTTACTTCATATTGGACATGTGACGTAATAAATGAATAATAGCTCAACTGTTAGTATTTCTGATGCTAATTATTATTCCTGCTAAATTCGAAATTTATAAAGATGATTCAGTTTAAAGAAAGTTTACATCGTGAAATGAAGTCCGTACTGTTTATTAGTTCGGAAACCTTCGACAATTTACGTTCATGGCTCCACATGATATCTGACCATTCACCTAATTTGTAGTGTTCATTCAATAAAATCGGCGATATCTATCTAGGACTCTCGTTGAACTTTAAACAATCACAGCTTAGAATATTTTGTTCATTTCTATGATGATTAAAGGTCGTATCTATTTAAACAGAGTTTGTTTACTTTTGATAAATCTCACTTGGATCTAGTCTGTATGTTTTTTTTTTAATATGACATGTATCACTTCATTGGACAATATAATAGGAATATAACTCAAGTACTCATGCTTGATCCAATTTCTATAGTACAATCTAATCTTACACAGCCCTTATAAACTCACCAAACAATTTGTTATCATTTGATTGAAATCCTGGAAATTCCGTACACTTTTTATATATAGCATGAGTTCTCAATTTTAGCTCTACCAACCTTTCCTACTAAGATTTAATTTAAATTATAACTGATAATAAAACCTGCTTGATATCCAAATGAAAATAATCTTTGTCCACTATGTACAATTACTTGATTTTATTCATATTTTATCAAATAAGCACTAGCAATATTTTTTTATTTTCTGTAGAAAATGAGAAAGGAACCATTTTTCCAAACTTTATACCAAGGTATATTTCTTGACTCTAAATTTTGTGATGAATGCGATCATCGGTAAGTGAATGACTAACAATTGTGTCTTAAATTTATCATTTATAATTGCGATATAACTGGAGAATAAAAATATTCTTTGTTTGCTACAATATACCAGTGACCGGAGATTTTTGAATGCCATTAGCTACTCGATGGTTATGGTACACACAAACTGGATCATGCTATTCTAGATACAAAATTCAGGATTAAAAATTGAGAACCTGAGCATTGACTAGACCATAATTCATGTAATACAATTATGAACATTTTACACTTATTAAGGAAGAGAATCACATATTTAATAGTAAGTAATCTGGGTGTCTATTTGTCCACACTCAGTGTCTAATTACATCTTACTTTCAGTGGCTATACATCAAATTGTTTTTCAGTTGTTAGTTTTTGAAAACACACCAAACTTATATATTTAGATGAAATGCGACATACTACTTTGTATTCATTCTTGATGAATTCACGTTTCATGGCTTGACATTTAGTTTCTGTGAGAGAAAAAAAATAACAACTTAATTTTGAGAAAATATTTCATGATATTTATTGAAAAAATAAATAAAGTCTATATAAACATTCTGTAGATTCACTTACAATTATTTACCACACTCTATATAAGATTGTCAAAATCGGTTGAAATTTCGTAATGTTAAAAATAAACAAAGTATAACAATTTTGGTTAACTACCTTACTGAGAATTTGTAAATTGTTCACTGAAACAATAACATAAAACGATTCAATACTGTGGGATGGGACAATAACTTTCTTTGTCTGTATTTTAAAATACTAAAGTTATAAACGAACATAAGTGGATTGTCCTTCATGTTTTTCTGAGGTTTTCTGAAATAGGTAATGATAATTTGGGCTTCTTGAGACTCTTAAAACCGTTACAGCTGTGATTCTGCTTACAAAGAGAGATTTCTAGACAAATGAAAAAAAAATTAGTAGACCTTGTTTCTTGATATTTTTGTTTTTTATTACTGTAAATTTGCTGTTCGCCGCACACATACATAATCGAAGTCTTATTCAAATCCAGATGTCATATTGTTTTAGGGGTTGTCATAGTGTCAACACTAAAGTGAAATTGACTGGAATCGTCATTTCAAAATCAACCTTGTATAGTGAATACATTAGTTAGTACTTACAATGTTCTTACTATACTTTAATCTGTAAATAATGTATATTCCTTATCTACAACCTATTTTCTAATTCAGTTACGATCGTGAAGAAGTATTCAGTGCAATTAATTTAGCAGTTAAAGCTAACGATTTACATGAAGCTTTAAATCAGTTCGTTCGAGGTGAAGTACTTGAAGGTGATAATGCTTATTATTGTGAACGTTGTTGTGTTAAACGCCGTGCAGTAAAACGTTTATCTATTCACTCACTACCTCCAGTACTGTGTTTACATCTTAAGCGTTTTGATTTTGATTGGGATCGACAAATACCTATTAAATTTTCTCATTATTTCAAATTCCCAAGACAGTTGGATATGAGTCCATATTTAACTGGTTCTACACTGGTAAGTTGTATGAGGAGCTTTTTTAATTAATTCTTATAGATATAGTATGATGTCTTCTGCACAATATTGTCACACTATTATTACACAAGTTAATAACCAGTTACTAATTACTTTATTCATAAGCCTACAACTGAAATCTGTAATCTAATGGGTAACAATGTTATTTAATAATCAGTACCTTGACAGATAGAGCTGGAGTTTAATCGGTCTCCCGTTATTTGAAAGTTGAATACGGACACTAATTATATACAATTTCGTGATATAATGAATGGAAAATATTTCTACTTCAGATGTTTACCAGATTATTAACTTCTTACTTTTGTTATTTTCCCTTTTGATCAGTTTTTGAGTATGTGAACAAAATGTTTAGACGGTGGATTTTACTCTATCTGTTGATCAGTAACTGTTACTTACAATTATCTTTTTTTACTCACTTATTTGATTACTGGCATCACTGTGCAATAGTAGTAATTACAATAATAATATAGCAGTACATTAATATATTTGATTGATTGTTTTATTATTATTATTTCCACTTTGACAGAAATTTCGGTCTTCTGCATTTTTTTCCTCACATTCATCAACCTCGGCTTTATTACAACGTGAAGCCAAAGAAGCCACATTTGCACCTAGCGCAGCAAATAAACGACCTAACGATGTAAGTAATTTTTTAAAACACATTTATTAGAATATATATATGTTGCACAATAGAATGGTCATTTATTACTCAAATATTCAAGATGTTTGGGTTTGTTAGTAGATGGCTTAAGCTCAGGTCTTGCCTATTTACATGTTTCTACGGCCTTTATATGATAATTTGTAACCCTGTTGTATATTGCATTGGTTACAGTGATCAAATAATCTTTCCTGTTGTGATATATTTAGTAGTTTCATTGGAGCTCACAGGAAATAATCTTAAACACTATATTTAACTACTTGGGAACCAGTTAAACTTTCCCGGTCAGAAAAATTAATGTTCATTTCAGAAACCTTCCTAAAAATGTTTTGATATTTGTATAAAATATATATTCTGTATAAATACTTTGTTCAGACAGTCATATGTTTATACCACGTGTTCATTGAATAACAATTCATAGTTTCTTTTACCTGCTAAAACAACTGACATGTACGTAGTAGTTTTTCCTGTTTCGCCACGCGCAATCAAAATACATTATGATTTCTCGAAGTGCCCTTATCCATATATAATTCGTTTGATAACAAAGTATTTATCGAATAGTAATTTACCATCCATGCCAACTTTGTGAAGTGTAAATGCCAATGACTTTCGATCAGTATGAATAATCGTAATAATGCTGCAGTACTGAAAAACTTATTTTATTTTAACATCTATTTGCGTCAATCAGTTACTGCAGATTTAGCACAACTATTTGCCATCGTACACAAGAATTTTGTTGATCGAAGTATTGTCTGATCTAGATAGACTACTCACAAATCATGGTCGATTATCAAGACCGACATCACACTTCCAGTCATTATAAATTTATAATAATAAGTATGAAAGAAAAATTATAGAATATTATGGAACTAGTTAACGTGATTACATACAGTGTACTCTAGGATGGCTGCAATACCAATTATACACCAACCACATTCTCTTTGAAAATGCATAAGTGATACATATTGTAAAATTAGTGTTATTTATTTATATGCATTAATACATAAATATAACAATACTGAATACAATAAAAGGAATGCATTCAAGTCTATTCAAGGGTTGCTTTAAAAAGAACCTTTACCTGGCTATTAGTTCTCACTCCGTATATAATCTTTGACTACGAATTTACGTTTACCGATGACCATATGCTTCGTGACGAATCATTCCTCATAACGAATCTGAGTACACAGTGTTTCTCGTGAATCGGTAGAGTTTTTCATAACTGTGCGTTTCGCCTCCACGAAATTGCCATTGTTTAGTTCATGAAATGTGAGTATATGGTTGGAACACACTTGAGCATTTTCGCCTCTACAGTAATAACTGATCTTGTGTGTATCGATGAAACATGGCATCTGACACTGATAATAGACGGATAGTTTTGTAAACTAAAAATTGCATTTAAGTACGAAAATTTATCTGTCCATGTTTTTATTTGTCATCTGACGGAAGAGCAAATTAATAGTTTATCAGATTGCGGCCTCTTTACTTCTCGCTGCAGTTGGCTATTCAACGGATAATGTTCCATGAAAACCAATTTTGTTTAAGAGAACAATAGTCAAAATGAATTGATTTGTATTAGCCCAGAAAAATTACTGCAGTTCATTATCTTCATCCATTTGATTCTCTAAGTCCAACAAGGGATGTATGTGACGTAGCAGGTTACCATTTACATTTCATTAACATCGATATGCATTGTTTTCCTGGAAAATCGGCCCGTGGGAACACATTTTATGAAATTGATAAACTTACATTCATCACTTAAGACTATCAGACCATGTAGCTAGTGGAAGGTAATTTTTTAATTTTCAGAGTTTAGAGAAGAGGTGATTATCGAAGAGATCATTACTTTTCAAAAGATAGTAACCAATAACATATCTAAAAACTATTCATTTTATCGGACTAAATGGGATGGACAAAGTTTTAAGATGGGGTAACATTTAAAAAAAAATTACGATGTTGTAAATTACGTTTATGTATTATGAATATTCATCTCAAGTCTATTGATTAGAAATCTTATCACTACTACCAGTAATACTGTAGTGAAAAAAAATCAGGTGTAGGTAAACTAATTTCATTATTTAATGCCTAATTACAGAGTGCCCATGTAATATATGAGAATCATACAATAAATACATTATTTTCATATCTTCCATCAGTTGTCTTCTACATGCTCCACGATCCTTCCAATTCTGTTGTTATTACAATTGCTTTGTGTTTCCCTTTCTATTCTCTTCAATTCAGTCTTTTTCTGACAGGCTTTCTACTTATATCCATCTGCACGAGTAGCATGCACCACACTATCACACCTATCTTCATAATTTCAATTAGTACTCTTTACCTGTTATATGTAGTTATTCGATCTATTTCATTGTGATCATTGCCTTGACTAGCTTAAAAAATTTTCATATAAATATCTATGTATATTAAAATGAAACCTGATGATGATCTAACTGAAAACACCTTTCTTTGCTTCTATGTGTTGTTCTAATTTGTTTAGTGTTTGAAAATCAATTCGATTGATTAAGCAATTTACATTGTGAGTGTTGTAAACCTTCAAATCTAGGAATGTTTTGCGTTATCTAATGAATTTGTCTCTAATCTACTTATCACCTGTTGATTTGTAATAGGAATGAGATTTCTTATAGATTAGTTTAGTACTTCATCAAGGTTTTACATCCGATCCTAATGTCTAAATGAAAACAGAAATTACAGTGTGATATTTGTCTGTACTTTTATATCTGTCTATACAAATTGTATAATATGCTGTATATGTTATTTATGTTATAATACAATATTATTGATTTAATTTTTACTTGATTTTAGAACGATATAAGTGATTTCACTGAATTAAACACAACTGATGAAATTGTCAGTGTAGAGAATCCTGTAACATTTTCCAATTCTCCACTATCATCACCAACATATTCAACCGATCATTTATATGATGACTCTGATAAAATAATCAATACAACTAATATGACAACTGATGATAATACTGATGAATTGACGAATATGAACTCAAGTAATACATTAACTAATACATCAACTTTAAATATATCTTTATCGTCAACATTGGATAATCAAAAAAAGCATGAGAATTTATACAAACTTATCGGTATTGTTGTTCATTCAGGACAGGCTAACTCTGGTCATTATTATTCATTTATTAAAGATCGTCGTCATTGCAAAGGGTTAGTTTGTGTGTTCTTTTTGATTACATGTAGATATGTATGTATTTATGTCTGTGAGGAAATGAGAAATTTATTACAAATATATTCCTTGTAATTCAAATATTAACATTTTCAATGTATAGCTGTAGAACGAAATATTTTTCTGAAGCATTCAATTTATTTGTGTAGAATATTGTAAATATGTTCGTTTAAAAGTATAATAAATTTAATTTTAACATCTAGACTATGAATTCAAACATGAGATTATCAATACAAGGCGGCCTGCTTGAGCATCTGGGCTACCTGTTCCTGCCATCTAGATATTTCGACAAGTTATCTATTTTTGTTTGTTTTAATATATCATTATGTCTATTAATCGCACAACCTATTCTGCTGCGTTTCTGAAAAGTGTACAACCTTTCGTTGTCAAAGTTACAAAAAGCTCAAAAAGAGAGAATATTGTTGCTGGCAATATACAACGAAAAGAATGTGCATTATTCAGATATTCATTTACTGGACTGTTAACATCTAGCTGGCGATCACTTAGTATTTATCGCGCGGACCGACCAAGAAGAAAGAAACGGAAACTTGTTGAAATACTTTGTGCTGAGAATTCTATATTGTACCAATAGTATAATATTGAATAAAGCTAATAATAATAAATAAATAATAAATAAATAAATAAATTAGCATAAGACTACACCAATTTAAAACATAAGGGTTTTTATTTCTCGGTTTTTTCTTATGACTACAATTGATAATTCTGTATTAGCTTATGCTTGGGTTATCTTGGTATCGTCATTCACCCACAAATTTTTATAGGAGTTCTATTTTGGCTTGCAGTGGAATCCATAACTCACGTTTTGAACTTTTTTGTATATAATAGATTAGAAGACAGCCCGTTGACATTTGAAACAATACGTATTAGGTTAATGTCTCGGTGTGAACATCGACACCTGAGTACATTCAGCTGACGAGTTCCAAATGCAACGAAACATATGTATTAGATTCCACTCTTAGCCAAAATTTAACTTCAATAAAATGTCAGTTCAAGGGCGTAGAAATTCAATTTTTTTACGTCCTGCAATTTCAGCTCAAATTTTATTCTGCATACAAACTAAGTGAACAAGTTACAAGCTAAATTACCTAAAGTTGTGGCAAAATGTGCGTATGAGGGTTTATTAATGCACCATGCTTAGTGTAACGCTTCAATCATTAGGTCTTTACGACACCGCCAACTTATAGATCCCAATTAAAAAGTATATCTGAACATTTAAATTTTAATTAGCGATTCAACTAAACATATAAACGTTTCATTTAATCATTGTAAACGGACTTTTTGGTTTACTGCTAATTCCACGTCTGTTGATTGAATCACTCCCTATTCTAATGAGTTGTAAAGATAATTGACAATAATCTTTAGAAATTTGTCTCGTGTAATTATCCACACAAACATATCTAGTTAGGAAAACCGTCAAAAGTTAGTCGACACTGGCGAGCTCAGATTGCGAGTCGCTCACTGAATTCATATGTCATGACAACAGTGATATATTTGACCTACTAAGCTGAAATTTGAATTTCTTTCCGAGAAATTATTAGGTTAATAATTCTTTTTTTAAATGCAATTTTAAAGTGGT